CCATCGGCTTCTCGTGGCGCTGACCTCCACGCGCAGTGTCGCCCTCTCGGCCGCGTACGGCTTCGCGTCCTGGCAGGTGGGGCTGTGCTTCGCGGCGGCGGTGCTGGGCGCGCTGGCGGCGATTCCGGCGGGCGGGTGGTTGGGGGATGGGGTGGCGGATTGGGCGACGAGGAGGAATGGCGGAGTGAGGGAGCCTGAGATGAGGTTGCCTGTGCTGGGGGTGGTGGTGGTGGTGGCGCCGGTGGGGTTGGTGGTTTGGGGGGTGGGGGTGGAGGGGGGGGGGCATTGGTGAGTTTTTTCTTTTCTTTTTTTTTTTTTTTTTTTGGGAGTTAGTGGTTGGGGGTTTGTTGGGGGATGGGCGGGTGGGTTGTTGATGTGTTGAGTGGTGCTGACATGGTGGGTGTGTTTTAGGATACTGCCGGTCGTGGGGATTGGGTTGTGTAAGTCGTTTGTTTACTTATCCCGTGGTTCCCCCTTTTTCGCCCCCTTTGCCCCCCCTTCCCCCCCGCCCAACACACCCTAGCTAACAAGCCAGTAAACTTTGCCATCGTCCAGGGCACCAACGTGGCGCTCGTCTACGTCATCGACGCCTACCGCCCCGTGGCCGGGGAGATCACCACGACCATCATGGCGTTCAAGAGCCTGTTTGGGTTTCTGCTCTCCTTCTACACCAACCCGTGGGTTGCCGAGGCTGGCTACCTGAAGGCATACGGCGTGATGGCGGCCATCTCGGCGGCCGTGCTGCTCGGATGGGTCCCGCTGTTCTTCTGGGGCAAGAAGATCCGCCATGCCACCTGGCGGTGGCGGGTTATTTCGTACATCCACTGGAACGACGACCGCGAAGTGGGCGAGTAGTTTGTAGGTAGCGGTCATGTTAGACTATACTAATCTATTTATTTCTTCGTTATCATCTCCTTTACATGAAGTTTGCTGATGGCTGCTTGTTCAACTTAGGTCCATCAATAGCACGGCCTCGAGTTCGTCTACGTCTACAAAACAAGCCCGTGTAGATGCAAGGGCCCAATATCCTTGAGGGCAACGGTGAACCTGATACGAGCGAAAATAGTTTCGGCAATATGGGTCGTTGCAGGCGGGCGATGCATAGCGCAAGTTCTCCGTGTTCAAGGCATGAAGCCATTCGTGAGTTGGGTTTAGATGTTTTGGATCTGCCCGGATTCCCGAAACGAGTTCGAACAGCATAATCCTCCGGCAATATTGAGTGACAATACCATCATCTCGCGGTACGCAAGGTGGTTTCGCGCACAGCCGCGCCGACATCCTCTCGAGATTGACCCTATTGCTGGATGCTTGATGTAACCCGGGGCGCTTGCGCAAACAAGCGATATAGCTAGTATCGTCTGTGTCATCCGGAACAGAGTTCTCAAAGGTCGGAGCTTCCGACCCCCCCAAAGCGTTCCCTATCTCGTAGTAGACGCAGCGACACTGGGGATGGCTGAAACAGCTCATGCCCATGTCGCTTTCGGCCCCCAGCGGCGGCTGTCTGACCATGGCGGTGCGCCGGAACAGGGAGCGCAAGAAAGGGGCGCGGAGCCGACCTTGGCCGTCGAGGTTTAGTTGGTTCACTCGGCTGTGTGACTCCCACCAAAGATGCAGGTATATCGGAACGTTCTCTCGTCGCACCATCCTCTGGACAGTTCCTCCCACGTACCATTGGAATCGAAACTGCGGTGGTGTCGAACCCGGACAGCGTCGATGGCTCGGGTGCTTGCAGTGCTTCTTGAAATGCACAAAATCGCTGCCGTCGTACCTTACTTGGGCGATGAGAGCCTCTATTTGGGACCATGAGATCTGCTTATGCCGGCACACCCTGACGAAACCCTTTATTCCATAGCAGATACTTCCCCGTCCCCGCTTTGGAAATTCGTATTTGGCATGAGGTGCCTTGCATCGGGCACAGTAGTGTGTCGACATTTTTTCCGGGTCGAATTTACATGCTTCATCCTTTTGAGACAGTCCGAGTGACAGGAGGCATCTGGTGCAGAGCTGGTCAACCCGTAGTTAGTTAATGTGAAAAGCACCTTCTTATGTAAGGCAGAACGCTTTTTAAGTCCGTATCCCCGGTTCACCCTGACGAGTCCTTGCATAGTACCGCCATCATTCCCGCTCCTCGAAATGTCCCAAGGGTCACGTCGCAAGACAAGACGCCGGAACTGTCTTGAGACTTGCCGAAGGAAGATCGTAATGGCCAGGTCTTGGTCAAAGTAATCCAAAATATGGAGGAGGATATCTTCGGGAAGGCGGGCGATGGGAATATGACGGCAGTTATGGAGCACTGCGGCCACGAGGGGGTCGGTAAACTGGTCGAGTGATGTGCAGTCAGGGCAGCCGGGGACTGCCATATTGATGGGTTCTGTTGATTTATCGATACTCGTTTTGTTTTGCTGAAAATGAGATGGTTGTGGTGGCGTGCATGCTCTCGATTATCTTGCTTTCCAGGTATTCCAAGGGACGGGTTGAAAAGCGACGGCTCAGGGTAGAGGGTTATGGAATAACCTGGAGTGGGAAGGTAGGAGGGTGACCCGAGGGGGGAGGACGGAAAGCAGGAAGTTACGAGCGGCCACCATCTTTCATTTGATCTCATCTCCTGTCTGTCTCTCTAAGCTATCCGAGTTTAACCCGCCATCATGACTCTGGCCTTACGGCTGACTGGTCCCCTGAAAATCAACACTCGTACTCGTCTGGCCAGCCGCAGCCTCGTCCTCCTTGACGTTCTTGTCCAGCTTCTTTTGTTGCTTGGCCAGTTTCTCAGCCGTATCCTTGCCCTGGGCAGCCTCAATCTGCAGGGCCAGCACTTGAAGCTGCAGCTTGAGCACCTTGTTCTTGATCTTGCCAGCCTGCAGGGCCTGCCCTTCGGGCGTGTTCTTGCCTCCGGCGGCCTCGATGGCCTCGTTGAATCCACCGGCCTGGGTCTCTGCCGCTTCGGCAGTCTCCCGCGCTGCCTTGATAATTGCCAGGTCCTCGGCGTCGACCGAGGCGAAGTCGGATTGGTCAATCTGGTCGTGTAAGTGACAGACCAATGAGGCATGACAGGAAATTGCATACCGGGAACTTTGCGTTCACTTCGGCCAGGGCATCGCCAGCAACGCCAGAGGAGACTTGGAAGTCGGCGTAGTCCTGGACGGTAAGGACTCCACGTTTGACCTTGCGGTCTCCGTTGCTCATGGGGAGAGCAATAGACGAGGCGAGAAGAGAGAACAGGACGGCTGCTTTAAAATACATGGTGGTGGTGGCTGATGATATAACGAAGGAGTATTAAATTTGGATATGAAGGTGTCTCAGATAATTCGAAAACAGCACAGCTGTTGCAGAAGAAGTAAAGTGGAGAGGGAAGAAAAAAGGTCAAGAGTAGTGTGGGTTGATGAGATGAGAGGAAAAGGAGAGATCCAATTGAAGCCGGTGACAACGGGCCCTTTAAACTCTTGTCCCTATCCCAACAGAACCTCATCGCCGAGGAACTCGAGCACTGCGTCTCGTATGTTGCCAGCTTCCATTCCCATGTCGTCAACACGAATACCAGGGTAGACGACTCCTCGCCAAACGTCAGGAAGCACCAAGAAGCGCCCAGTGTTTACAAAGATGTCGAGAGTGAGGAGCGGCGGGTCCAATGGGGGATATTTCGTACCCAAGCGCGGTTTGGAAGGCGTCGCAGCAGGTAGCGATTTTGATCCGATGTGCTTCAGACCCCTGTTGCTGCCCCTGAGCCTCAGCCCTTCAGACATTGAACACGGAGTAATTGAGTCCACCTATTATCGACAGCAGGAGAGATGCGATATAAGGAAACGAATACGCGGGTATTCCAACTTTGACTTTTTCGAGGGTTCTTTCATAGGTACGAATATTCATCAAGCTTTGTTTGTTCCACCATGGCGCAGCTTCCTGAATCCCAAATGGAGAACAGCTTGGTGTTCCATCGACTCCTGGAGTTTAGGTAGCACCCCTAAAAAGAAAGAAAAAGAAATCCTAAAAAAACAAGGACAGGAAAAAAAGAGAGGCGCGGCCAAAGCCAGCTAATTACGAATAGCCCGATGCTATTTACCTATCTGGAGTGAAAAGGTGAAAAGCGGTTTGATGTCCGGGAGAGAAGGTGGGGTCCACTGGAAGGTGAGTCGATCCGCCAGTGCAAAAGCCGTGGCGGGGCCGATGCTAGCCCGACAACCTGTCACCGACCTTCAATTGACGATCCAAGACTAATTTGGAGAGCCGATGCAAGCCATGCCCAAACATGCAGCACGCGACTAACCACATGTAAGGTATGGAGATGGTGTGCCACTACCTAAACATGCCTGGCATGCCATGGAACAGGATGCCGAGTTCTGTCAACACCACAACCATCTTCCGGGGCTGATCGATAGTTATCATTCGTCGTAGCTCATCCTCGCTATCACCCCTCAAGAGTCGCGTGAGAGTTACTTACACACCTTCACACTTACGCTTACGCACGCGCTTTCTGTCCCCTTATCATTCACAATGCTGTATCCATCCACCTTCCCGCCTCTTGACATTCCCGATGGGATTGACCTTTGGACTCTCATGTTCGGTGACAGGCACCGAGACTTCCCTGTAACTAAGGAGATCTTGACATGCGACGAGACAGACCGCTCCTATAGCTGGGGAGACATACGCAGTGCCTCAATTGCGTTTGGCAGGGGACTGATGGCCGTTTGGGGGTGGAAGACGGGTGATGTCCTAGCCTTCTACACACCCAATTCCATCGACGTATGTGACCCTCCCCCGTTTTGGTCGTAACTGAACCGCTAATAACACCAACTTCCAGACTCCCATACTCACCCTCGGCGCCCTCTGGGCCGGCGGCATCGTCTCCCCGGCCAACCCCCTCTACACCGTTGACGAATTGGCATTCCAGCTCCACGACTCAGGCGCAAAGGGCCTCGTCACCCAACCAGCCAACCTCCCGGTCGCCATTGCTGCAGCGCAAAAGGCCAATCTCCCGCTCGACCGCATCATCCTCGTTGGCCACCACCGTGACCCCTCCGGGCAGATCCGCCGTACGTTGAACCGCTCTCCCTTCACCCCATAAGGCAGCCAACGATGTCCAAGAAGAAATATCCCAACCAAAGAATAGGTAACCAACAACTAACCCCTCACTCACTATAGACTTCTCTAGCCTCACCACCACCACCACCACCACCACCAAACCTGCCACCCCCCAACAATCCCCCGCCTTCATCGTCTACAGCTCCGGCACGACGGGCCTCCCCAAAGGCGTGTGCCTCACGCACCGCAACATGGTCGCCAACGTGCTCCAGGCGAGCTACGTCGAAGGGCGGCAGTGGCGCGCCGTCGGCGGGCCCGACGGCCGCGGCGACAAGCAGCTCGGCGTGCTGCCCTTCTTCCACATCTACGGCCTGACCTGCGGCGTGCTGATGTGCGTGTACGAGGGCTGGCAGCTGGTCGTGCTGGAAAGGTTTGACATGCTCAAGGCGCTGCGCGCCATCGAGCGGCATCGCATTACCCTCGCCTATGTCCCGCCGCCGGTGGTGCTGGCGTTTAGTAAGCACCCGGCCGTGGATGGGTTTGATTTGAGCTCGTTGAAGGTGCTGCATTCTGGGGCGGCGCCGTTGTCGAGGGAGTTGACTGAGGCGGTGTGGGCGCGGTTAAGGGTGCCGGTGAAGCAGGGGTTTGGGTTGTCCGAGACCAGTGCGGTCGTGTGTTGTCAGGTGGTGGATGAGTGGGGGAAGTTTATGGGGTCGGTGGGGAAGATTATGCCGAACATGAGCGCGAAGATTGTGGGCGAGGATGGGGAGGAAGTGGCGGAGGGGGAGGTGCGCTCGCTTCTTTTTCTTTTGTTGTTGTCCCTGTTTTCGGTGGTGTGTGCTGACCTGATTGTGTTGATAGCCCGGCGAGCTCTGGTTGAAAGGCCCCAATGTCTTCCCCGGGTACTTCAAAAACCCGGAGCGGACCAAGGAGGCCTTTTCGGCTGACGGCTTCTTCAAGACGGGAGACGTCTTCAGGCGTGACAAGCACGGCAACTACTACTGCGTGGACCGGCTCAAGGAGCTGATCAAGTACAGTACGTATGCCATTCCCTCCCACGGATACACCTTAACTTACCGATCCGTCTAGATGGCTATCCCGTCCCGCCAGCCGAGCTGGAAGGTGTCTTGATAGGCCACAAGGAGGTGGCGGATGCCTGTGTCATCGGCGTCGAGGACCAAGCGAAGGCAACCGAGGTGCCTCGGGCATATGTGGTTCTCCGCGACGGCGTAGCGGCGAGCGAGGCCAAGGCGCAGGAGCTCGCAGATTGGGTTGCAACCCAGGTTGCCCCTCACAAGAAGCTGCGTGGGGGGATACGGTTTGTTGACCAGATCCCCAAGTCGCCCAGCGGAAAGGTGTTGAGAAGGGTGATGCGGGAGCAGGTGAAGAAGGACGAGCGGGCGTCTGGGGCAAAGCTGTAGCCACCTAGCTGTCAACCCTTCCCTTGGGGGAGGGAGCCTGTATTCTGTGACATCGACACACCATATCTATCCTCTGATATAAATACACCTACGCTTCAAACACCATCTTTATATCGCTCCCATCCTACAAATAAATCCCAATATCCTACACCCCACCCCACCAAATCACCCCATCCTCTCGGCCTCCTCCAACAACGCCTCCACACTAAACCTTGCATCCCCCTTCCCAAACCACTCCAACAACCTCCTCCTCTCCTCCGCCCTCACCTTCCCCGCCTCCCCCCCAGCCCCATCCCACCCCCCATAAAACCGCTGCAAGCACATAACCAACCACCTCGCATCATCCACCTTCACCCCCCGATCCTCCATCACCGTCCCCTGCATCAGCACCACCCCCTCCCCCTCACCCTCCCCAGCAGCAGCACCCTCCCCCCGCTTCGGCCCAAGCATCAAATCCAAATAATGCGTCACCGTCGTATGCGGCGCCGCAAACTCCCCCCTAGCCTTATACTCGGCCAGCTGGGTAAACAGCACCGTCACGCTGCGCGTCGCCGCGTCCCACGTCCACTGCAGGAAGTGCAGCTCGGCACCCTGCGAGGGGTGCGGCACGGGCAGCACGAACTGCGGGTACGTGCGCGCGAGGGTGTTCATGGCGGTGAAGGTCGGGGTGGGGATGGCGGCGCAGAGGGAGTTGGGTTGGCTGGCGTGCCGGAGCCGCCAGATGGCGGTTAGTTCGGTGGCGGGGAGGAGGGAGGCTTTGGGGAGGTCGAGGATGGAGGAGAGCGGTTTGATGCCGGTGTTGGGGGGTGTTTTGGGAGGGCGGGGGGTGGGGGGTGTGGTGGGTTTGGGTGTTGCTGTTCCTGTCGTTCCTGTGGGGGAGGGGGAGGTCTGTTGTTGGGCATCGTGGGGTGGTTGTGGTTGTGATTGTGTCTCGGGGATGGGGGTGATGGGGATGGTGTCGGTCTCCTTGCGCAAGGACTGGATCTTGTCGGCGTAAGCGGCCTTGAGGGAGTCGATGTCCGTGTGGCCCTCCTCGCGAGCTTTGCGGTCGAGCTTGTCGCGGTACTTCTCGAGGATGTGGCGCGGCTGCTGTGTCGTCGTGAGGAAGCGCACGTCGTGGACTTGGGCCCAGCGTCGTTGGTTCGAGGCGCGCAGGGCCCGTGTTTGGCAGTTGATGAGGTGCCGTAGCACCGGTACCCGAACGGTAGCCATTGCGTTCGTGAGAGCTGGTAGTGGTAGCTGGGAGATGTTGGAGGAGTTCGGAAAGACGAAAAGTCGGATAAGAAAATGATAAGAATGGTTGCATTAACCCTAACCCATCTTTCGGATCTCCTCCACGAAGGCGGGGAACCTGGACAATCCAAGCACCAGCACCGTTCATGAGTTGCCGATGATACCCCAACACCCAAAAGTACTCGTAGATCTCCAAGCATTGTCTCCCCCTTTAGGTCTCACACAGCCAATGCAATGACGCGCGACACCTCCCCCGCCTTTGGGTCCTTTAAAAACGTCCTGCCTCCCCTCTCACGCAAATTCCTCAGCCTCTCACATCATCACACCACACAAGCCGAACTCGTTGCTCCTTTCTCAAGTGATTCTAATTCGCCCCCACACTACTTTACAGTTTAATCTGCTAGACACGGGAAGGAAACGCTGAAGAAGCCATGTAATACAGCAGCTGCGATCGGCCGCAAAACTGCCCGCTCTAATGCGGACGCGCTGGTCAGGTCAGCGGGTTGAGCCCGGCTTTCAGACCAGTATTAAGTATCCTCCGTCTAGACAATGCCCCCATCTAAAGCTCCTCTCAACAAAACGCCGCGCACCCTGCGGAAGCCACGTATCGTCACCCTCTTCGTGCGGCCACATCAACCTCGGATTTAGGCGTTGACGGTCTTGAACACCCACTTCTCGGTGCCCTCCTTGAAGGGTACGCCCAGCTCAAAGAGCTTGGTGACGACGGCCGAGAAGTCCTTGAAGAAGAGGTCGTTGTCGGCGGCGTACTCCTTGACCCAGTTCTTGAACTTCTTGTCCTCGACCAGCGCCATGTCGGCCGGCAGCATCATGAGCGACTTGGTCTTCTTGTCCTCGTACTATTTCTTGCGTCAGCAGCCGTTCCCGAAATCATTGCGAGAGTTGCCGGCTCGGCTTACCTGCTTAGGGCCATTCCACTTCTTCCACTGCCACTTCTCGTCAAGGAGAAGCTTGTAGAAGTCGTTGGTCAGGACGGTAGGGGAGAAGGTCCAGGGGCCCTCGTAGCCGGAGCGGTTGGAGTGGCACCGGCCGAGGGCGTGGGCACCAGCCAGGGCAACGATCTCCTGGTCGTTGAAGCCCATGCGGTAGAAGATGTTGCGGAGGTGGTCTTGGGCCTGGGCGGCGTCAGGCAGGCGGCCGTCGGGGGTGCAGGCAGCAACGTCCTTGTCCTGGCGACCGGCGCGGAAGGGGATCTTGGGGCCGAGCATCTCCTGGATGGAGCAGACACCAGCGAGGATCCAGAGATCAGAGTAGGTGATCCAGGGGAACTTCTCTGTTTCCATTGTCAGCCACCGGGCACTCCCGATACCCTATACCCTACAAGACTTACTCTTCACAGGCTCGAGGAAGTCCCGAGCGGCCTTCAGACCGGCGTTGGCACCGTGGTCGCTCTCGGGGGCGAAGCGCATGGTGGCGCCGTTGCTGCCGCCGGTACCGGTGGCGGCATCATAGGTGCCGCTGGCGTGCCAAGCGAGGCGAACCAGAACGGGGCCATAGCTGCCGTCGTCGTACTCGTCGTTCTCCTCCAAACGGTTGGCGATCTCGTTGTACACGGCTTGGTAGTCCTCGAATTTGGGGGTGAAGACCTTGGGCGTGGCCGAGCCCTGGTTGTTCAGGAAGAACCAGCCACCACCTCCGACAGCGGCAGCACCGGCAACCCAGAGCCAGGTCGACGAACTCTGCTTCGCGGCGGGCTCCGACGAGTAGTAGCGGCGGCCACCCTGGCGGAAAGCGGCCCGGGGCGCAGCGGTGAACGCAGGCCGAGCTGAGGTGCGCAGAGCGCGGGTGAAAGTGCGAGTTGCGGTCGACATCTGTGGAGATTGCGAAACACCAAGTCAGAATCGAGTGTTTGTTGGAGCGAGTGTTTGGTAAGGCGGGGGGTTTGGTGCAATATTACGCGATTTCCAATCGCTGATAAGAGAGGGGAGGAGCTCAGAGAGTTACAATGCAGGAGGGAAAGCGACGCTTGGGGAGGCTTACCTTGAGATCTGTGAATTTAAAGAGAGAAAGGCCTGGATGACAAGAGAAATATCAGAAACAACTGGCCACCAGAAAGGCGAGATGGGGGAGAAGATGCGTAATCAAAAGGCCAAGCTGGTAGTCGGCTGGGATAACCCTTCGGCTTCGGGGGTTTGCCAATGGCGAGTGGAAAGAAATAGAAAAAAGTTATAGGCGCACCATGAGTGGCCGATTGGGATGTGGAGTGAGCCCACAGTGGGTCTTCTCACAGTGTGACACAGGTTCAGGGTCGCGGTGCGCCCCGTCTTCCCCGAACTTCGACTCACGAATCCCGTTCTCTTGTGGTGGCGGAACAAAACGGGTGGGGCTTCCGGGGACGCTCCGAAACCACATGATGACGGAGCCGAGGGTTCTCCGAGGAGTGCCGAGCGGAGCCGCCAGCCCGGGATCACAATTTGAGTTTGAGATACCCGTCCTTACCGGTGGAACGCCCGCTCTGACTCAACCATTGAGCAGCGGCCGGTAGTTGTGAGGTTGGTCGTTATGCTAGGTACGGCTGACTACCCACCAAGGTACATACACATCCTCCAAGCAAATAATCTGTACAAACGTGCTGGAAACAGCCGCGACTCAAACATTTGCTGGGCACCTTTGCTGTGGGTTTGAATAGATAGAAATCAAAATTACAATTCAACGTTCCGCCACCCATCAGCGATTTCCAGGGATGGCACTTGGGGAGGGAGTGGTGTGACATGTCGTATGTATTAGTTAAATGATCAGTCAGCATGGTCCGACACGGCACTGGCCCGGCCGGACCGGCACGTGGGATCTCGATTCGTCTATCTCTCCCGCTTCGGAAGGAGGCCGATGGCGGAACATGCTTCCATGACAATGCGTCAGTAAGCAAACTTCAATCAGTCTTCTCAAACAATTATCATATCTGGTGACATACATATACGAAGTGCAGGTGGATTGACGCTCGGGGGAGGACCTAATAAACAATCGAAGATCCACCAAGCCCAATAGTGCTACATAACCCATACACAATGATCCCGTATACCTAACAGGGCAGACCTCGCCTCCCATTATGGAAGTGTTCTCGAGAAGACCGAGCCCACAAACGCCCAACATCTTGCTCCTCCGACTTCGGAACAAAGGAGCGTCACCTCTCCTTTGTTGGCCAGTCCAGCAACCGTGGCTCTGGCACAACACGTTCATCCGGAAAAAAAAAGGAAAAAAAAACCAGCCACAAAACCATGGCAATGTACTTGAAACGCAATGAGGAATATTGCCATAACAAACTCGTTCACCCTACCAATTTCCCACTTCAAACCAACTTTAATCGAAATTAGCGGGCCCCTGAGCGTTCGGGTCCGGGTCCGTATGCAACTCGTAGTAGTTGTAAAAGCGTCGCTCCGCCTTGGGGCGGGTTGCGTCGTCAAGAGCAGGAAGGCCAACACTTTCTTTAGATTGCTTCGCTTTGGTGATGATAGAGACTGACTGGGGCCTGTATTATCTAGTCAGTCTAATTCGCTGCCGCGCCTTGACAAATGATGTAATGCACTGCTTACCCAAATAGCTCCCGGTCGATGATGAGGAACTCCTTCATGGCCTGCTTGCCCCCGCGCTGTTGCAAGTAGCTCAGATACACCTGGCCCAATTCCTGCTTGATGCCCGGCGAAAGACGGCTCTTGGTACTCATCTCGGCAAAGACGTTCTTGACCCGCTCGGCGTGTTGCGTCTCCATGTCCGCATTTGTCGGCTGTTCCAGCTCGAATTCGAGCCACTTCTGCCAAAAGTGGCGGCTGTCGGCGTACCAATCCACGTTTTTGGCGAAGGAAGCGCGCGCTTCGTCAACCGAGCCCTTGACCTTCCACAACAAAAACGCCCATTCCGTAACCAACGCAGCCTTTGTGAAGATGTCCACGACGGGGGAATCGATCTGCGCCTTATACACCTCGATCGCCGCGTCCAAACCGCTCTGCCGCCGCTGCAGGTTGGCCCACGAGATGATGGCCTCGACACAATCCGGCAACTGCGTGAGAATAGCGGCATGGATATCCCGGGCAATCTCGACTCGTCCGCACATCTCTTCAAAATAGGCGAACTGGAGCCGAACGCCTGGCCTGCTAATGGGAACAAAAAGCGTGGCCGCACGCAGGTAGATGTTGCGGACCTCCTCGTCCTTGTTGTCCTGTGCCGACATCCACCTGGCGTACCGAAGCCAGAACTCGTCGTAGAGGGAGCAGGTGACCAGGCATCGCTCATACAAGCACACAATCCGCTGGTAGCCACCCTCGGCCTCCTCAAAATCAAGGTACTTCCGCCAGTTAATCAGCTGGTGATGCTCAAGCTCCGTAACATGGAAATACGGGCGCTTGATCTCGGCTTCGTACGTCCACCTCTTGCTCGTCTCCTCCTGCGTTCGCTGGAAGACCTGGTAGAAAGAGGCGTCAATCTTGGCGCGAATGTCGCGCTCGATCTCGAGCTCTGGCTTTTGCACACCAAATTGTGCGGCTTCGCTGTCGACCTCGGCGCGATACCGAGCTAGCATGTCCGCCGAGACGAGTTCCTCCAGAGGGCGAGTGTGGGCCAGCTGCCGGAAACGCTCAAAATACCGAGCATACTGATGCATCGGGATGTGAATGACGCGGTTGAGAATGGCAAAAATCTTGTCTTGTGCCTCCTGCCGCGTTTCGTATTCCAGGTACTTGTCCCAGAATGGATGGGAGAGGAAGTCCAGGCCCGATATGCGATGCGGCGCGTTCGAAGAGCCTGAAACCAGTGTCAGCGGCGAACAGATGTGACGGGATGGGGGATGGGGCGAATTGGGAAGGGTGTGTAAATACAATAGGGGATTTGTGTAAGTGGTGCGATCCATCTGAGGAGTCCAGACTACAATTCCGGGAAAAGTGCGAATGGGGAGTGAGGACGAAGCCACAGCACACAGGGCGTGATCTGCCGAGCACAGCAGAGCCTGGTTAAACTTTGTGAGAGAACGATCCCAGCAGAGGGTGGCGGCTGCCTTTGGTATCTCTCACCATGTCCCGGATGGTTGTACGTTCGCTCTGATGGTTCTGGCGGTTCGGTCGGCGGCGCGGGCCGGCCTCGCAGGTTTGCTGCGGGTGAGGAGTCATGGGGCAGGGAAGGAAATGGTCCGCCTATACTTACTCTCTCACAAGGTGGGGAGTGTGAGTGGTCTCCATCTTGAAAGAACAGTACTCAGTCCACAAATCGACTGAGTTGGTGATGCTGGCGCAACCCCTCTCATACACCTAGCAATCGTGTTAGCTTGAACTCGCTTGATGCCGGTGTGAGACTCAATGGCATACCATTTCGGCGGACTCGGGTCCCGAGATGTTGAATTCGAGGTCGGCATATTTCTTCCAGTAGCCGAAGAGAAGCGGAAATTTGAGGAGAAATCGGTCGTAGGAGTCGCGGAGGGTCGCCAAGGCCTGGGGACTCGAGTTCCGGTTGAGCCCGCCCTCAAGGCCCTCACAAGCGCGAATCAACTTCTCCCAATTCTCAAAGTTGTCGGTATCCGTTTCCTATTGCGATGTGGGTTAGCAGTCGGTAGCGCGCTTCAGAACGCACGCGTCTTACCACGTCGGCATTGAGCCGCTTGATCTCGGCGTTTTCCTCGTCGGTGCCTCCGAAGTTGGCAAAGTCGGCCATGGTCGCGAGTCAAGAGGTCAGGTAGAGAAGGTGCTTGTCGACTTGTCGAAATCCCGAATTACGAGCTAGTATTATTGAGCCAGGGGCGTATAGTTTCAAACCGATAGGAAATTCGATGTCGAGGCTTCCAAGATAGGTGGACTAGGTGGAAGGACGATGGAATCAGGAGGCTGGAAGTTTGAAGTCAAATGCAAAAAAGCGGCTGCTGGGTAAGGGTCCCACTTATGATGCGCGCTGACCACATTGGGACATCTTGCTTGGCAAGCTCGAACTTGGGCGAGATCTGGGTGGAGATGAAATGCTGAGCTAATCAACATGCCCTTTTAATCACTTTTTTTTTTCACGACTTCAATTTTATTTTCTTTTCCTTCTCCAGGCTAATGATGATTGAATCAATAAACAAACATGATAGGAAGAGGCTGATTTTTCCGGAAACGGAAAGCATGATCTCACCATTGATTACATTTCTGAAGCCACCAAATGCTTTTTTTGTCATATTCATTTTCTGCCACTCTTTTCGTCGAGATTTACCGGACTGTGTGCTGTGCGATAGCTACTAAGATGCGGTTGTTTGGATGGCAAGCCACTGCCTCTCACAAAAACAAAACAAAATGAAGCATGGCAGTCTTTTTGATTATTTGTTCGCTTGGGTGTGCTTGTGATAATGAAAGCCGATATCTCGCTCCCTGCATCTCGGGGTAGCCATGTATGCTTTGAACAAAACAAATATCATGATATCGGCTGTTTGGTGTTGCCATGCTGCTCGTCTTTTTCTGCTCAGACATTATTAAAACAAGGAGCAGCCCATTCGCCCCCACAATAGCCTTGAACTCCCGGGAGGACCAGGGGAGCCCCCCGCGCTGTCAGCTCTGTGCAGGGGCACAAAACAAGGCGGCTGACAGGTTGTGCAGCTGGAAAGCGCCCAGCCGGGCAGGCACGTCAAGCTGACCTCCTGCTCTTATATCCAACCGGATGCCCCTCGGCTGGATTCCAACCCGATATTTTGCATCAAGGTCGACTTATATGGATGTACTTTCACGTTGTTCACCAGCAGCTTCCTGTCGTTCCCCGAAAACCTGACTCATCCCGGCGCCGAATTGGCCCAGCGTCGTTCGCTCTGGAACCGCTATGACGACTGCGCTCGACTTCGCAAGCTGTCCTCGTATTAAATATCAACCACTTCATAGCCCCTCTTTACGACCAAGACTGACATGGACTACGATCATGGCCCACCCTCGACGGCCTTGTGGCCGGGCCAACCGCCGTCTTTCGAGAAGTCTAGCCAGATCTTGATTCGAGAATACCCCCACCGCGCCATCGCCATCGCGTCCAAATCGCATGCCCTCATCTTGAGACACAGCACAACAACAAGCGAGGCCATTGCCAATGGATCCCTTGCGTCTGTATCGGCCGGCCGCCCGCGCTTTCCCAACTCCGACAACAATGCGTCCAAATGCATGGTTGAGTTTTCTGCAACATCCGACAAGTTACTTGACGACTACCGCCCCTTAACACCACGGCCCATTTACGGAACGCTGGGGCTTATATCGATCGGGCCAGATGTATTTCTTTGTGTTATTACGCAGGCTTCACGGGTTGCAACGCTTCGCCCGGGTGAGACAGTTGAGAAGATCGAGGCCGTCCAGTTCTTCTGCCTCAACTCGGCCGAGTACGATGACGTCGTAGCCGTCGACCCCTACGACCTAGACTCGGACGTCGCATCCGTATACGGGCAAGGACTAGGGAGGAGGGATGTTGCAATAGAGCACCCTTGCCAGGAACTGCAGAAGCTACTTGGGAACGGCACCTTCTATTATAGCACCGACTTCGATGTTACAAACCGCATGCAAGACAGGTGAGGAGACAGTGCAGAACACCTACGTCTGACACGGCGCTAACGCGATCTAGGCTGGCCGATGCTGCGGAATTCGATATAGACAACTTTGACGAATCCTTCCTCTGGAATTCTTACATGATCCGACCACTCGTACTCTTTCGATCACGATTACAAAAGCAAGAGCGGGACGCACTCGACGCATCGAGGATCTTGACCTCTGCGATTCGTGGCTTCTGCAGAACCTGGACAATCCCACAGAATAGGGCGCCGTTAAGCTCTGCGAATACTGGTTTGCCGTCCTACTTGACTATCACCTCGCGGCTGTCATGCAGAAGAGCCGGTACAAGATTTAATTCGAGGGGCATCGACGACGATGGGAACGTGGCCAATTTCGTTGAAACAGAGACGACATATTGGAGCCCATCCGGGGTCGTGTTTTCGTACGCCCAAGTACGAGGCTCAGTGCCGGTCTTTTGGGAGCAGGCTGCCGGCCTTATACCGAATCAACAAAAGATCACCGTTACGCGCTCGGCGGACGGGACTCAACCGGCATTCGATAAGCACTTCTCCGACCTGGAACAAGCATACGGCGCGGTTCATGTTGTGAACCTCTTAAGCGCCACGAAACCCGGGGAGTACGAGCTCACGACTCTTTACCGACTAGGCGTTCAAAACTGCCCCCTCAGCCGACCAGAAGGAAACCAGTCCAGGGATCATGCGTTGCTCAGGGAGACCGAGTATGATTTTCATGCGGAGACCAAGGGCCCCCAGGGGTACGTGGCGGCCAACGAAATCCGACGGTATATCGAAGATTCGGCCGACGGATTTGCGTATTATCTTGCGCAGGAGTCGGATGATTTGGGGCAATCGAACGGCAGTACGCATGGTCACAAGAAGCGCCGGTCCGTTGTGGTCCTTCAGCAGGAGGGTGTCTTCAGGACAAACTGCCTTGACTGTCTAGACAGGACAAACCTCATTCAAACCATCATTTCACAAATGGCTGTGGAAGCTTTCCTCGGTCACAGAGGGGAAAGAGCACTCTCTGACTTTTGGTCCCGCCATGCTAACCTGTGGGCTGACAATGGCGACTCCCTATCCAAAATCTACGCCGGCACCGGCGCCCTCAAGTCCTCTTTCACTCGCACGGGGAAAATGTCACTTGCCGGGGCAATTGCCGATGTCCGAAAATCAGCTACCCGACTTTACTACAACAACTTTGCTGATAAAGCCCGCCAAATCACCATCGATACCTTGCTCGGGAGGTTAGTTAGCCAGGCACCCGTCATTCTATTCGACCCGATCAGTGACTATGTTGCCGGCGAGCTGCAACGGCGGAACGCCGAGTTTTCCACAAACGAAAAAATTCATATGTAAGTCCTAGAAACGTTGTCCAAAGCTCGGCGCTGACCTCAATAGCCTCGTGGGGACCTTCAACCTCAATGGGAGGACTGATGGCATCAGTGAGGATCTGTCTTGCTGGCTTTGGCCCTCTGAGCTTGGTTCTATTCAGCCAGAAATTATCGCTATTGGATTTCAAGAGATAGTCGAGCTTAATCCCCAGCAAATCATGAACAGCGACCCGACCAGAAAACAGCTCTGGGAACGGGCTATCAAAGCCACGTTGGACGAGCATTACAACCGAGAGGGGGACGAGAAGTATGTCCTGCTGCGGAGCGGACAACTCGTCGGCGCTGCGCTGTGCATCTTTGTCAAGACCTCGGTACTTCACAATATCAAAAACGTGGAGGGCAGTGTCAAGAAAACAGGCATGTCAGGGATGGCCGGAAACAAAGGGGCGGTTGCGATCCGTATGGACTACGCAAACACGCCCATTTGCTTCGTAACTGCACACTTGGCGGCCGGTTTCGCCAACTATGAGGAGAGGAACCGAGATTATGCCACTATCGACCAGGGCCTCCATTTCCAGAGGAACAGAGGGATAGCCGACCACGGTAAGATAGACAGAGCTGCGATTGGGCTGATTGACAAGGCTAACACCCCAGTTAGACTCGGTCATTTGGTTTGGCGACTTCAACTACCGAGTTGGGCTCGGTCTAGAGGCAGCCAAGGATGCGGTGAAGAAGCGGAATCTTGAGCGGCTGTTCGAGAACGACCAACTGAACCTTCAAATGGTGGCGGGGCTCTCCTTTCGTTTCTACTCCGAAGCTCGAATAACTTTCATGCCAACATACAAGTACGATGTCGGCACCGACGACTTTGATAGCTCGTGAGTAGGGTCATGTGGGTACATGTAAAGACCATTGCTGACATGATTGCAGTGAGAAAGCACGTATCCCCGCATGGACTGACCGCATCCTTCGAAAGGGCTCAAACCTTCGACAACTGGCCTACAACTCGGCCCCGCTACGCTTCTCGGACCACCGGCCAGTCTACGCCATCTTCGAGTGTACTGTCAACATCGTGAATGAGAAGCTGCGAGACAAGATCAGCCGGGAGGTCTACGAACGACGCAAAGCCGAGGTTGGGGAAGGTACCGCGAACCTAGGTGCAAACGAATCCGACGACGAGGATCTAATAGGGTACGATGCCATCGAACCCGGACTTCCACCCGCCAGTTCCGACCGTCAAAAGTGGTGGTTGGACAACGGAAAGATGGCGAAGTCTTCCATCAGCCCCCCTAAGCCCAACAACCCAGCGTCGCAAATCATTTTGAACCCAAAGCGGCCAACAAACCCCCACGCGCCAACTGACGAGCCGGACTGGGTCAGTATTCCTAGGTCGGAATCCCGCTTGTCGTCTTTCTCCAGCATGTCGACCTCGCCGTACGAGCACGTCAATCATTCCACATTGCTCTCGTCATCAGCGTCTAGCTCGGCGCCGAGAAAGCTACCGCCTCCCTACGATCCATCAATGCTTCCCACCAAGATGGGGAGGATGCAAATCAATGAAGACATCAAGAGCTTGCATGAAGATGGAACACCTCCTCCGCCTCCTCCACGGCGGCAGACGAGCATGGGTACCGGGCCAGGGACCGGTTCCCCCGCCCCGTCGGTTCAACAGAAGCGAAAGCCGGTGAATAAGGTAACGCCTACTCCGCCTGTTGGACCGAAGCCGGGAGCATCTCAAGAGCAGCTAGCGAAACAAAAGGCCGCGCCGCCCGTGGCAAAAAAGCCAGCGCATCTCGCAGCCCCGGTCTCCCCAGCAAGCAGCATCCTCTCAACCAGCCTCACCTCGGACGCAACTCTACGCGGCCCAGAGGGATCGGTCGCTGACATTCCTCGGCGACCAACACCCAACGCCGCCAACGGCTCGGAGTCAAACCTGAGCCGCGGTCTCGCATCGCTGCCGGTCAGAAATGCCAGCCTTAGGGAGCGGACACCGTCGCCATCACAATTCCCTCGTCGAACTAATACTACGGCGGGCGTGACGGCGCAGAGCAGGATGGCGGCTGCGGGCGGGATCCCGCTTGTTGGATTGGCAGGGCCACAGGAGCGTAAACCGCAGTTGCCGGCTAGGAAACCGGTGAGCCCCGCTCCTGCGCCCTCGTTTCAGAGGCAGACGCCGCCGCCTCCGCCGGCACCGAGGAAGGCGCCGCCAGTGGTTGATCTGCTGGCGGATGACGGGGCGATGGAGATGGGTGGATGGGAGGCGTTGAAGCCCTCCTCTTAGGAAGATGTTGATGGTTTCACGGCTGTTGTCTTTGGGTAATGGGTATATAGAGGAGGCGTTTGAAAAGGGGTTCGTTCTACTTAGGGTTGAGGATGCTTGGCAGGGTGTCCGCTCAGCTGGTATTAAATGGGACAAGTGGCCAAGACAAACGGCGTTGCGGTTGTGGTTGTGGTCGAGGGAACATATATATGGTTCAGGGGGATATAATTATACGCTCTGGATAGGCTGGTATGGTAAGAAGTCGGTAGGAATTGATGTTGACCACGGATACCGACACCGTCAGACTACCTCCGGGTATGGTGGTTTGACGACTTTGCAGGGTGCTCTTGGTGTGCAGGTTTCTGCTGTTTAGTTACCGTTATGTATATACCCAGGCAGTTGTGTATGGTCGAACTCAAAACCACAGGCAACCACAAGCCAAGCCAAGGGAGGTCCCACAGTGTCCGATAACTATGATGTTCCCAAGGTTCATGATCTTTCTGGGGCATGCTTGCTGGTCTGACCTGTTGCGGCGAGCGTTTGGAAGGGACGAAAGTTTAAATCACACATCGAGGGTGTTCTTCTTTCTTACCTTTAGCCTCGATGCCGACGAAAGCGCAAAGTCCACTCCGTAGTTATTCGTAGTTTTTAGTTATTCACTCGAATTCTTTTCTTCAATTTCTTCTTCTCTTTCTTTTCCTTCACTTCTTTCTATTTTCTTGGTTGCCTTTATTCTTTTCTCTTTTCTTGACCTTTTCTCACTTTTGGAGTTTGGCTTTTTTTTGGCCAAGGGTGTCTCGGCCTCGTTTGCACTCGCTCTGCGTACGCCTTGTTATTTCGTAAATATCGTCCATTCAACGCTTTTCGGAGACGCTTAACTGTGACCGCAAAACGACCAGGACTCCCAAACGACCCACTGGTAACTGAAACTAGTTACACTCCACCGAAAATGGCACAGCCTTCCAGTTTCTTTCTTGCCCTGACCGATCGTTCAGCCGCCGGCTGCACCATCTACCAAATTACGTCATTTACATATGCAAGACGTTTATGGTATCTAAACTTTCTTGAAGGTCTCGAGGAGGTTTTACTGACTCGTGAATCTGAAATTATACAAGCCATATCAAGGTCCGTTCTTTACTTATTAAAGAGCCATAACAAGTCAATGCTCAATGCTTCATCCTCCCCTCTCAACGCTAATCAAGCGCGTTACAGGGGATACCAGCAGCTTTTTGTGTAATTCTCCACACTGTCTTGCACAGCTCCATGTGCGCCTGCAACGACCCGGCTGCGGCACTCCTGAGGCACAAGCCGTGCGCTAGTCCAGTACCGGTCTGGGTCTTAAACCAAAGAGGTCATCAGGACCCTCGCCAAGCAGTCGCTTTTTGCCTGCCGAGAACCGGGGAGTCGGGGACGAACCCACAGCGCCCACCCCAACTAGAAAGCCGAGCCTAGCAGAGTGAGCGAGCGCGTGAGTTCTGACCGACGGCGCCGCTGTCGTTGCTCCATGCTTTGGTTTTGGTTCTGTTTCTGGTTCGTGCTTTCGCCTGTGCACGACCATTTTTCAACTTGAAATAATTGAATCTGCAAATTTCAGCAACAAGGGACCGAGGTCAACTCTGCAGTGGATTACTTTCATCACGACGTCTCAATTATATTTTTACAGGCTGCCCGTTGCGTGTTGCGAGAAACCAAGATTGGGGTGTGTTCTCAGTTCCGAGGCCATGGTGACCGATACCGCTGTCGCTTTCCGGTGACACAACGCAGTGTTCACGAAGTGGAACAGGACACAAGCTCGAGTCACTGCTTCCATCCCTACACGCGCCTTGGACCATTGGCGTCCATTGGTAGACCGTGTCTTACATCTGCTATCTTGAAGGTCGGACAAGGGAGACTCGAGGCGCATCTCACATCTCGCTGTGTGACAGGCCAGGTGAGTCGGCCTCGATTTCTTCAATCCCTTCCTGGCTGAGGTCCAGGTTGAGAGACTTTTCCTTTTTGATCGCTAGCTTTGAATCTGCCTATTGACACATTTCAAGCAAGGCCAGAGCACAGAGCACAAAACGCCCCTGAAAACGGTGGTCTACCCTGCCTTTAGGACGAGGCTTAATACCAGGCACGCGACACCAAGACGGCACCCACCCCCGACTACACCCGTTGATCTCGAACTGTTGAATACTACAGTTATGGATCTCTCGAGCAATGCATCTCCCCGGAGCGTCCCTACGCCGCAAAGCCCGGCACCCCTAGCCCTGTCCGAGTTTATGGCTCAAGCAACACCGTGCTCCGATACCACCAACCCTTCCGACAAACCAGCGTTATCCCAAGACATTCCGAGGCCAGTAGGAGCAGTCGTAGAGCCGAAGCAGCCATCAATACGAGACGCACCCCGAGCAGAGACCCCGAAACAACAACAACCACCACTATCCCAAGAAACACAAACCCAGGATACACGGTCGCCACCAAGCAGAGAGGACACCGCAGCGCCTGTCGACTGGCTTGCGACCCGCCAACAGCTCCTCCCGCGCAGGAACCAAGGCAAAAAGGCCGATTGGATCCGCGGCTGGAGCCAAGCAGTAACCAGCTACGGCGAAGAGACCTACTGTGCCTGCTCCGAGGCCATCGAGACCCACGGCATCCACCGCGGCCGCAAAGGCAAGACCAGCGCCCAGCTCGCCGACAACGTGCGCGCCATCCTCCAACGAACCGCATCCCCCTCGTCCACCAACAAATCCAAACCCACCACCCCCGCCACCCACGAACCCGAAGTATGCCGCCTCTGCAGCCGCCCGCCCAGCAGCACCAACGGCGGCAACGGCTCCCACTCCAGCAGCAGCAGCAACAGCAAACTCTACTCCCCCGGGAGCGGGGGAGGCGCCCTCAACCTCACGAGCGGGAAGCGCTTCATCAGCGAGCTGCTGCTGCGCGTGCGCCGGCCGTCGTCGCGCAGCAAGAGCGCCGCCGCACATAAGCACGACGCCGAGATCGGCAACCCCCACGCCTGGTCGCCCGAGGACTGCCAGCCCCCCTGGGCCACCACGGACCAGAAGCGCTTCCTTGCCCGCCCACCGAGCCAGCCGGTTTCTGCGCCGGTGCATGGGACGGGTGGGGGGGTTGCGACTGGTCCTGGTGCCTCGCCGGTGACGACGGGGGCGGGGGCGGGGGCGCATAGGCTGTTGAAATCACCCGCGCAGGCCGAGGCTGGTGGCGTTGCGGGTGGGTATTTCGTGTGGAAGTCGCGGTCGCGCGGCAAGTTACTGCCTGCTCTGGCCGGGGGTACGAACGGCGCCGGCGTGATGGGGGGGTCCGGGGCGGGATTGGGCGGTGCGCAGTCGTTGTCGTCGGAGACGGATGGGACCAGCGACTCGGATGTGGACGCGCAGCACAGGCCGCTGGGCTTGTCGCGGAGCTTCTCGCGCCTGCAGAGGGCGGCTGCGCTGCTCCAGCGCGCGACGGCTAGGTCTAAGGACTAGGGGGCTGGGCTGGTCAAGTCGCTTGCGCGGGCGGTTCGGCGGCGAAGGTGGCGAAGGCGTGGTGCTGGGCGTGGTGGTGGTGCTGGTCGTTCTGGTGCGCCCCCGTTGTCTGCGTATTATGAAGCTCGCGGGGCTGGGACGAAACGGTTGTATTGAGCATACCCGCCCAGTTGATACCTCACGGCGGCTGGCTGTCCGGCGAGAGATGGAAGCGTGAAGGTTCGCAGATGGCCGACTCAAGACCGGACCACAATTTCGGTCGTTCCCCACGACCAGCGCAAAAGAACGGGACGCCTCAACACCCGGGTATTGCTTCTTTGGAAGCCAACCCCCCCGAGATCCCTTGCTTTTCAACTTTGCCGCCGAGCCCTCGAGCATTCCAACAAAATCATTGGGCGTCTCTGCCGCCTGGGTCTACGGGAAGCAGCAGTAAACACCAACTACCCGCCGTATAGCCAGCAGGGCTACCAGTGCCCTGTACTACTTGGCTGCGCTGCTACAAAACAGAAGCAAAATACAGCCCGCAGCCACGAACTCAACTGCCTCACATCAACCAATACACGAGTGCCTGATGGATGGCGAGATGGCCGATATAGATACCGACTTATTGTCGGAACGAAACAAACCAAGATGGGCGGATAGGCCCAAACCACAGCACGCTTAGCGGTGGCGTCATAGATACAGAGCAAACTGTTGCAAAAGTATGGTACCTACAGTACGGCACAGCGCCGCAAACAGAGGAGAGAGCAAGACTTGCCGGAGTCTCGAAGATGTTTAAAGGGGGGGGTTGAAACTGTGTCGGGCCTGGCCGGGCTGGGTGATTGATATATAAGAAATACAAGTAATGGTATTGTTAATGCACAAATTATGTGAAGACGTTCTCTGCTTTGGTGTGCTATGTGTGAAAGCCGATCAACGATGTGTAATGTATTGGGGCTAGAGTTAGGTCTGTTTACATGTATACATGTTCTTTGGTCTCAGTATACAGGAATGTAAACGTGAAGCCAAAAAAGTCAGGACTTGCTTCACAAGCCCCGTATGGTTAACTGGAAACCACTTCAACATGGCCGCTCTCCTCGGAGTAAACGGGGGACACAAGCCGTTCCCAACACCAAAAATTGTCCATATAGCATATCAGCTTGGTTTGTATTCTTTATCTTGGGTTGCAATAACCACGGGAGGAGTCAATGAGAATGAGATCATCCTTCCATACCCCGATCCAGCCCAACCCAACCCATCCCGTTGTAAGAAAGGGAAAAACTACAAGGAAATAGCACGCACATGTACCACACTAGGAAATAGTGGCACAAGTCTTAGTACGAGTTAGACATCACGGGCCCAACCTGTAGGGGATTTCGAAACACCCGGACGAAACAGGCTAGGAAAAGACGAGGCTCGGTTAAGAGGGGTTTCTGTGTATTGTCTCGACCTCGCAAAGGACGACGAGCTTGTGGATTTGGATTTGGTTGCATGTGTTCCCCGTATAAATGGACGGACGATAGGCCGTTCTGGGGTAAAGCAGTGAGTAAAAAAAGGGAAAACGAGATAACAAAAAGAAAAGCACCATGCCCTGCATTTTCAGTCCCCACCCAACGACCAACTCCCCTGCGCAGTCCAGCCCTTTCTTTGCCTCGAACAGCGTGCTGGCGCATACCAGAGTCCGCCAGCTAACCCAGTCCACAGACAACAAAGACCCATATCCCTACCGTAAACTCAGATCCCAAGACGGGCCATGCAGGATCCCCGTGCAGCGATTAACCGCGCGTAGAGCCCCGGCCCAAGAGACAGAGAAGAGGGTGTGTGCGACAGAGGAAAAAGCGAGACGATCAAGCAAGCAAGCAAGCAGTGACGCCGCTTACTGCTGTTCAGGCGCAGGCTCCTCGGCCTGGCCATCGGCCTCCTTGGGAGCATCGGCGGGCTTGTCCTTGGGGGCCTCGGCAGCGCCCTCGGGCTCGCCGTTGTCGGACGAGGTCCAGAGGGTGAGGTTGTCCCGGAGAAGCTGCATGATGAGGGTGCTGTCGCGGTACGACTCCTCGGAGAGCGAGTCGAGCTCGGCAATGGCGTCATCAAAGGCCTGCTTGGCCAGGTGGCAAGCACGATCGGGGGAGTTCAGGATCTCGTAGTAGAAAACGGAGAAGTTGAGGGCCAGTCCCAGGCGGATGGGGTGGGTGGGGGTCAGCTCGGTCTGAGCGACATCGGTGGCGCTCTGCGCGAATTCGTCATGTCAGTTGATGCAAAGCACGTGCGTAATCGAGTGGGCAATTCTACCTTGTAAGCCTCGTGGGCAGCGGTCGCGGCGACCTTGCGCTTCTCGCCCGAGGCGAACTCGGCGAGGTAGCGGTGGTAGTCACCCTTCCTGTAGCGAAACCAAGTCAGAACATGAAAAAGAAGATGCAAACGCAGAGCGGGGAGGTTTTGGCAGCGCAGGCGCACATCTTGTGGTAGAAGACCTTGGATTCACCCGAGGCGGCGTTGGGGATCAAGGCCTCATCGAGGACGTCGAGAACATCCTGGCAGACCTTCTCCAACTCGGTCTCGATCTTCTGGCGATAGTCGCGGATGGTGCCCACGTGCTTATCAGAGCCCTTGGACTCCTCCTTTTGCTCGATCGACGAGATGATGCGCCAGCTGGCACGGCGGGTACCAACTACGTTCTTGTAGGCGACGGAAAGCAGGTTCCGCTCGTCAACAGTGAGCTCTCCACCGATCTTGGCGACCTCCTTCATATAGGTGACCATCTCATCGTAGCGCTCAGCCTGCTCGCACAGACGGGCGAGGAAAGTCTTGCTGCAATTTCAAGATCGGTTAGTTGGTTCGCTACGGGCTGGCGACCACGGCCGAGAGCAGTCTAACACACCTTTCACGCTGGCAGGGAGAGGCAAACTGTTAGCGACTGATGTGCAAAGGAGAATGCAGCTAAATGACACCGAGCCCAACGCTATCGGCAGCATGCGAGCCACCTCACATGGCGGGAGGGGAAAGAAACGGCGGGTTTTGGTGGGTTTGCACTTACCTCGTTCGCCATCTTTGATGATGTGTTTTTGAGAATAGAGTAGTTTAACAGACAGTTGGATGTATGTGGAAATGGAGAAAGAATAAAACGGTCGCAAGGGAACTTGGTGCGGTATGGGTGGCTTGTTTTGTTGTTTTTGGATTGTGGTCGGGGTTGCAAGCGGGCTCTCAGATGTTGAGCAAAGGGACTTTAGCAGGTCAACTCCTCCCCCTCACCGCGCTAGTGGGTGGCAGCCGGGGGGTCTCGCTGAGGGAGATCGAATGAAACTCGTTTTGCGCGTTAACACGTGACGCTGATACAACCTTATTTCCCAGCAAAATGGGAGTCCCACTCTAACAGGCGTCTCGCTGGGTCCTGGCTCCCAGGCCTCCTGGTCTCTGGCCCACAGCTGGGATCTCGACTCCAACGCACCCGACAGCCTGACAGTGGGGGCTGTTGAGGTCATTTCTGATGTTCAAAGGCAGCAGCAAGCAGGTGGATATTCGGACAACAACCAACAACGACGATTGTTTGCACTTCGACATTGCCCGAGAGATGCGTGCGTCAACTTGTAACTCCCTACCTGCTTGACCAACTCTGCTTCAAAAGGTCCCCAGTTTCTCTGCTTTTTCATACCATGGTAGGCTTAACGAGACGGATGCGAATAGCGTGTCATTCAACCGCGCGCTTCCAATCTATGGTGGTCTCAAACCTGGAAGGCCGGAACAGCCCACGTTCTCGGCCAATCCGCCCCATCAAACACTTGTTATTTGGTCTTGCTCTCACACGCCATTCGCCTCTACGTACATACCATACACACACACACAGAAAGCGCAGGCTGATGAGGGGCATGCTGCACGTCACACAGCACAAACCAGCCGCAAAAGAGGGCTTCGTTTGGTTGAGTCGGATCACTCTGGACCCCTCCATCTGGCGGCAGCACGCCTTATCATTGCCCGCCCAAATGCGCACCCTCATGGGCACCCCCATCCTCGGGGTCTCGTGCCCCCGTTTCTCATTGACAAACCTCATCCTGTCCCATCTCCGAGTGTGGGAATCACGAAGACTAGCCTTCCGCGGCCACCGGGCCCCTTTTCCCCCAGCACCGGACAGTGGGTCGTCCATGCCCAGCTCATCCCCAAGACAAGACCAGCAGGCCAACAGACAAAAGCGGTCACACCACAAGTGTCCCGCACCCAAAATTGTCCGGATGGGTCCCCGCCTCTCTCTCAGGTGGGGCTGGATGGACAGCGCACCATGGAAGCGGCTAGAATGCCGCGAGGCTCCCAGCGGTGGCCTTCCCCTCCCGGCACTCAATGAACAGGGTGGGCCAACAAGCAACGAGCCGCTGATCGCCCGCTTCTGCATCGATTCCGGGACAAGGACCGACCTCGGCAGGGTCGCTTGCACAGCCTCGCTTGAGTCACCCAACGTCATGGACTGGCTGACTGGTATTGTTTATTTGCGACCAAGTGGCTGTTTTTTTGCAGTCCATTTGTCCTTGGATTTCATCGTGTGATTAAAAGAGGCCCGACCCATGGGCTCATACTTACGTGCTCATCTCACAGGTTCCGCTCCAAGCCTCTCCCTGCCAATCGGCACAAAGCTCGCAATTCCGGGCTGTGATAACAGCGTCACGCGCCCCAACCCTTGGTGCGACTAGTTTCCGAACCCCGACCTCTGCTGGTGGGAATGAAGATATTCATCCCCGTCTCCACTGAGAGGATGATCCTGGGAGCTCAGCCTCCTCTGGCCTGAGCTGGGTTCACGCGTGAGGTACACAAGTTACAGATTATTATCATTCTGTAGTTATCGAGACCGTAGTCTTGGCTCTAAAACTGGTAGTTAAGAATGCTGGTGCCAAGCCGCACTCACGGTAGAGCTGTAGGTGTACAGTAGACGTCACGAATACCTAAACCAAAGCGCCATGCTATGCTATCGTTATACATCAAGCAGACCCTGCCTGAACGCCGAACTCATCCCTCTCGATACCCATGTCATAGATCCCGAATCTCATCCTCAGGTCCGCTCAATGTCAGATTATACTTCTCCCTCCCCCAGTCAGCCGGATCCCCTCCAGGAACACAGAGTCCCAGCCTCCAGAAGTAATCCCGGTGTGCAAAGAACAGCTGCCACAGCTTGAGCCGCGTCGGGAACCATCGCCGGCCCAGCCCCGATGCTTCAACCTCGTCCCGTGTCCCGTGCCACTTCATCAATCCTAGCACCCACTGTAGCCAGTCGGCCGTCTCGGCCCCGCCCATACAGTTCGAGTCGTTGTCACCGCGACACAACCTCAAGTCCTCCGGGCCGGGGGGTAGATTCGACTTCTCAATGTAAATCTCTCCGGCATGCGACCGATACCCCCACTCTGTCAACGGCAGCAGCGGCACCGGGTCGCCCACATGCGTAACACGGCGGTAGGCCACGTCCTCGCCCTGATCCCCCTCCCCTAGCCTAAACGCCCGATCAATATAATCGGCCAGCTTAGTATTACCCACCCTCGGCTCCCCAAACGTCGTCACAACCACATCCCGCCACCCCAACCCCAGCCTCACCTCCAGCGCGGCGAGCGCCGCAACCGCCCCGCCCAGGCTGTGCCCGATCAGATGCACCCTGTAACCGGGATACTTCTCCCGCGCGGCCCCAGCGCGGGGATGACCACCTCGCGGGCATTCCGCCACGAGGCCATGAAGCCCATATGCACGGTGCAGTTGTCGCACCTCCCATCCCCATTATCGCCGCCCTCCCCAGGCGGAGCCGGATACGGGACATACTCCTGCGGCACGGTACTCAAATCCACAATCGTATTCGTGACGCTGTACGTTCCGCGAAACGCAACCACAATCTCCCTCCCATCCCCATCCCCCTCCCCCACCACCCCCGCCCCCGGCCCCCGCGCCCCCATGATCCACCGCCAAAAAACCCACAGCTATCACTCAAACAGCATCCCCGTATTCCACGTCCGCAGCAGGGCGCAGCGAGGGGAAGTCGCGGCAGCGCGAGACACATGAGAAGGGCGGGGAGATGCCGGTCGTGCCGACACAGTAGGTGATGTCGACGAGGCGGGCGGCGCGTTCGAGGGAGGCGAATAGTGGGGGGGTTATACCGCTGGCGGTGTTGGGGTTGCTGCGTGGGCTGCTGGGGGTTGGGGGTGGGGGTGGGGTTTGGTTTTGGGGGGGTGTTGTTGTTGTTGTTGGCGGTCGGGAGGGGGTGGTTGAGGATCGAGGAGTCGGGGCTGGGGCTGGGCTTGGTCCGGTATTGGGGGGGATGGGGTCGGCAAGGATGGTGGTGGTGAGGGAGGCGAGGAGGGTGAGGTTTGGTAGGATGCGCATGGTTGTGTGTCGAGGTCAATGCCAATGTTTGTCGTCGGGGAAGCAGAGAATTGGGGTGGATTTGTTGATTATTAGTATACAGGAAGGCTAAGATATGTAGGATGAACGGGAACTGGGTTTAATGAGGCATCGCCCTGTCAGTCGGACGGCAAAGTGTTGGATCGCGTGACCGTGATCACCCGCCAAGCCCGGCAGAACCTCCGACGTATCAGCCTTGTGAGTTGGGAAGGCGCAGTTTCTGGAGTATGCCGTTTGGGTCTCGTTTCAATTGGCGGGACTCTGAAAGTCTGGAGCCTTCATTCAACTGCTCGGCGCGTCAAAGGCGACCTCAGTTCAAGGCTCTAAACTTGCTTGCCAGGTTAACGGCAAGAGAAAGCGCTGGGCCACCTGCTTGCTTCCTCCATGCTTGGCAGTTGGCCTGCCGGTCCACGCGGGAGAGTGGAGCTGGTGCGACCGGGATCGATCGCCAAGACAAGCCCCGTTTTTGACCTCATCCTCGTTGGTATTGTTAAGCTAAGGCAGGGAACAATGAGGACCAATATATATATACACATATAACACATGACGACGCACTGGAAAAAACATCAATGTCTTTGAGTTTTACTTTTGTTCCCTTCCTCCGCTCGAGGCTTAGCCAGCAACATATCATCTCGATTTCGAGTCGAGCTTTTTTATCCAATCAGGGTGGTAGGCCAGGCCAGGACTCGGAAAAAGTATACTTCGAAACCTGAAATCCCCGGTCTTTAAAGACTACAGCAAGGCAGACGGAAAGCCAGGAGGGAGAATTAGGGCGTAGGTAAAGAGGAGAAAAGTCCAAGATGAACAGAGGGGCCGCAGGGGCGGAAATCCCTTGTTCACCCAAATCCACCCAAATATCTCACGTTTGTGATACAATTCTATTCATACATACATTAAAAGGAGACGGATACCGCCGCCCCCTCACAATACCTTTAACCTCTCATCCCGGTCAGGATTCCCAGCCCGCTTGCCGTGGTTTCTACCTTCATTTACCACTTGATCCGAACTGATGATACGGGAATGAAGCCGGAACCTGAATCGGACGATATTGCGCTGTCGTCACGGGTAGTTTCCGGACTCGCTCGGCCCTCGTGGTACACCCTGCATTGCCGGAATGAAAACCACCACTCCAATATCCCCCTGCAAGGCAGCTCAAGCCATGTCACGCCATCCGTTTCGGCCGGACGAGAGGCCGCGATTTCGGTCACGGAGTGCCCTTCCAGCGCGGTGGTTGAGAAACCCAGCCACAGAGCGCCATCCAATTCCAGTCGAGACCCAAGGCGTTCAGGCGGACCTCGCCGACACAGGACACACGTGCGTCGACGTGGTGAAGGAGCAGCCCCTTGGTGACCGGCGTTTCCCCAATTCGGCACCGACAAGGGGTTACCGCCGTCACGTCGTCGAGGGAAGCCGACGTGTAAAAGTAGGCTTCCCTCGGTGCTGATTCTGGACGAGGGGAGAGCGGCGTTAGAATCGAAAAACGCGTCTCACGCGGTTCCGGGAGAGGGGACTCGAAAGCTAGTATACGGATGCTGTTGTTACAAGCCTCGTAAAAGATGCTGCTCGGCTGTTTGCTTGGCCGGTTTACGAGAGCCCATTCGTGATAAACCCCCAGTGGCCATGCTCCGATTATCGCGGTGCGACCCTTGTTCGTCCGGAACTTCCCAAGCGTCAGCGTGGCAAATCACATATAAGGCGAAAGTCATACCGTGAGAGCCCCTCCTCGCGGAGTAAGACGGTCGAGCTTCCATATCTCCACCACAATCTCTTCTTTGTCGAGCGGCATATACTGCCAGACTGTACCAACGCTCTGGTTCCGTCGGTAGAATTCGGTGTCCTCGTCGGGAGAATAGGGATGTATTGCGATCGGGTTGGGCGTGCAACACACCGAATAGCCAATGACGCCAGGGTCGTTGCACTTGAATGCAGCCATCTGGATTGCGTCGGAGTGGTTGAGTCCCTCAGGGTTCGTATGCCACATGCTATACCGCATGTGCTCGAGGAATTGGGGTGTCGGCCAGGACATATGCCGGGCAAATCTAGGCCTGTGAGACTCAACGGCCAGAGATGTCAAGGAGAGCAGCCTTGCGCCCTAAACGGATGTTAGATGGGAGAACTGCCGGGGGAAGCAAGTACTTCCGTTATTTTTGCCTATGAGGGTGGAATTCAGGTTCTGGACGGTTCGCCACCAAACATTTGGCTGCTCCTAGATGGCCGGCTTCTCGGAGGAAGACGTGAAGAGAAGGTCTCTCACGCCCAGATGGTCTTCCGCAACAAACACGGTCGTGACGGAACTCGAGTCGTAAGCCAGCTCAGCTGCGGCGCTGCCGTCGGGAGGCTGTTCGTTTGTGAGGGACCGGATATATCTTGCCCCTTCAAAAAATGTATACCGTACCCAAACCTTTGTCGAAAGACTGATAAAATAGGAACTGGGCTGCTGGATCTTCTCCGATAATGCCATCGCATGGCGTGTCGCAAATGACTCCAGGCAGTACTGGGCAATATTCTCGCAAAGCTCACCGGGGAAACGCCCCTGGAACGTGATGAACAATATCGTGCTCAAACTGGATCGAAGCCAGCGAACCCGTCGTTCTTCTTCTGTTTGGGGTGGCTCGTATTGGTAGGAGGTGGAATTGGCGATGGCGGACCGTAATCTGAAAGGCACCAGCTCAAGGCAGTTGGAGTGACAACCAAATGCTCTCTCGTACGTGCTGCACTGGCACCCGTCCGAGCATGGCACATAGCCGATGCCCTCAATCAGAACTTTGCGGGAGAATCGGAACCTCTCTGAAACTACCATCCCAGTTTTCATCACTAGGTTGGTCAGCAACAGCCTGACGTCCACACGAGAAAATACTGGGAAATAACATACTGACAATGACCTCGTCACCCTCCTCTACCTTGAAGCGGCAGAAGGCGCAGCGTGGGATCAAACAGGGTTTCATTTTCTCTTTCATATCCGTCCTGGACTCAGACAAATATCGCGGTTTCGTCGGTGTAGTGGTGAAAAGTGTGGGTGAAGATGGGGTTGCAGAAAGGAATTGGGGGGAGCGGGTGGTGATGGGCTTTTGTACCTACAAGATCGGATGGGTGGACACGTACTGCTAGCAGTCAATGTGCTAATGCCCGTCTATAGGGCTATAGAGTCAGGCATGTTGTAAACATCGGGCATATAAACCCCCCAGTAAGATCTAGATCCATGACGTTGCGCGCTTTGACGTTCGTTCGAGTGCTTGCTCCCCATTGGAACCAACCTTGCGAGTGTGGTGGAAGTGAGCTAAAAGGCAATTTGCCCAATGGATAGTATCACGGCGCGGAAAGAGAGCAGAGCCCTGGCCTGACGATTACGTAGAGGGTGTTACGCAAACCATGTGATGCTGCCACTGCTTGAGATGGTGTTCGTTTCGTGACCTAGGACCAGGCGCCGCGTTTGCGGTGCACCGATGCTTTGGATGGGTTTCGTTGTTCCTGAAGGGGAGTTTTGGTCAACATTTACACTTGAGTTCAACCTTTTTATCCATCAGGCGAGCAGCTACCTGGGTAGGGAGGGATTCAGGCTTCAGCAATGCATCGTTTGACAAGAAAGGCGGGTATGATTGGCGTTGATTGCCCTTTCTGAATGGTTACGGTATAGCTGCTATCTGGCATCTCTAACATGTCTGCGTCTCTTGAATGATGTCCATTGCGCACTCGCATCGAAAGATTTGCTCGAAGAAAAAGCCAGTTAACGCCATATCCCACCTCATGCTCGGCCCCATATCACTCCCGGATACCTAGTATCCCCATCACCCTGTATGCCGGTGTGGTCGGTCCAGAAGGGCCTTAGTTCGGCCTCGGCTCAAGGCTGTTGAACACGGCAGACAGGACGCTCGGCGACGACGAGCAGGCTTGGCCATCAGCGGTGCCATTCCGGGTGCTCAGAGTGCATTTCATGTTCGGCGTAACCCAGCCGGCAGCCTCAAAGGGGCGGTTCCTAGTGACTCGGTCAGCATCGTGATGACAAATGCCCATTCTTCCGCTGATAACTCACTCAGTTTCGAACGGACAAGCTCGTTCAACCATGGTAAGCTCGCGCTCGTTCCATATGAACTCGACTAGGCTGTTCTCGCAGGCATAACGAGCAGCGAGGTCCTGAGGGCCCACGTTGACCGAGGTCTCGTTGAAGTGGCACTTGGTCTCAATGGCAGGCATGACGCTGTCATCCGTGTAATCGAACTCGACGGTGGCGGAGCGGTTGTTGCCACCCTCGGGGGTCCAAGTGCGGAAGTTCTTGACCACGAATTCCTCGGGATAGGTGCAAAATTGGCCCTTGTGGGCAACCCTGGACAGGGCCAGAGGGATCTTGTAGGTCGGTGAAGCCACGGCGAGCTGGACCGTGGCCATAATGGCGAGAATGACGTGCAGCATCATTGCAACTGATGAATCGGTAGAGCGGAGATGAAGGTGAAAGTGCTTGGATGTTGTGTGAAATATCTGCAAGAATCCTGATTCACTCGAGAAAGCAAATGACTGGCACTTTGATGAGAAGAGAAGCGAGTGTGATGGTGTTTGGTGGTTGGAAAAGTAGGGGACTTATATAGTTTGAGATTTGAGAATGAACCTGTTTAAACTCTGTGCGCACCTTCCACAAACGCGCACAACAGCACAGTACCTGCATACAGTTTGCATTTCTCTGTTGCCCGGCAGCAATGCCAGGCTGAGATCTTACGCAATCCTCGAGACCGGATGACAGTCGATAAGTAGCCTTTCCCCACATGCGAGATTCTCGTTAGCCAACCTTGGTGGTTTAGTTCAACCTGGAAACGCAGCTTCTTTCCGCTCAGTGGTAGTACTTATAGACCGGTTAGCCCTTATCTGTGGGGTAAATACCTATGGAATTCCGCGCCGGAGAAAATCTTCGCGAGCTGTGTCCCTCCCTCAGTAAGTACCGGATCAACTGGCGAACTAAGGTGGACATCAAGGTTCTCTGCTGTTCCGAGCACTCTTGCTGAATTACAATCTCAAGCCCTAGCTAGCAAAGGGGATTAGCTTGCACGGTTGGTGTGCGGAACCATTGAAGCCACCCTGGTGCGAGTTTGCACTGTCCTGAGGCTAAACCGAAGAAACGACTCCGGGGTGTATATCATCGGGCCTGCCTGGTTGACCTCTCCCAGAGTTTTCACTTGCGTGACATACAGACTCCGGTTCTTCCAGGAGTACATACACAAACCGTCCCACAAAATTGTGATGGGTTTAGTTAGTGTGACGTGAAACGATGGAGGCTGATGCACGATGGTGAATAACGGTGATCCTAAATTCACGAGACCACAATGACTATGGGACAATCACGGCACAATGGGCCTTGCGCACCCTCATGACCAAGGCTATCGGGTGTTTGTGCCTACATTTACAGATAGCAAGCTTGACTTCGGTAGGACTAAAGTGAGATATTCGAGAGCTCACCTTCGGGATGCCGCATCTCACTCTCATCAGGACGTACAAAAGTCCTTGTAAACTGAGCAAACCAAATCAAATCGAGACCATTCAACCCGGGTCATGCCAGGAACTCGTGTACTCCGTCACACCAAATGATACTTTCTGCCGAGCGGCTATCCAAGGATTTCAAGCTGTTCGGGCACTCGAGCGGCTTGCTCTCTCTCTCATCAGACACGACCATACCTACTGGGACCAAACCTGCTACACAGTAGGTTGAGAATACAATATCGATGTGTCGTTTGAGATCCGAGCAGGGGAAAGATACTAAGGCCCATCATAACCCCTTCGAAGCAAGTCACTAAACTTTTTCTGACCAGCCCCTGAGCGTTGGCACGGCAACAGAGAACCACTCCTCACGAAGGATGCTTCTTTTCTTACATGTATAGGGGTCCTCGCAGTTGAAGTACCATCAATTGCGCTAATAACAACAGACACAAGGTCGCGGGGAATTTGGCCGTAATGGAATGTCCAGTCGTGCTGTCTACCTACGAATTACCCTTACCAGACAAACTCTACCCCCCAACGCCACATGATGCAAATATCCCCTCGGCATTGGTAACATTCAGCTCGACCTAGTACTGCTCCCACCACACACCCCTGCTAACCGCTGCCCCCTCATATCCCCCGGCCTCACTTCTTCCCCAACTTCAAGAACTTACCCAGTTTCTTCTTCATCGCATCCGAGTCCAGCCCACCCCCGCCCTTACCCTTCTCCTGCCTGGCCGGCTGCGCGGTCGACGGCCCGGCCTCATCACGCTCATCTGCCACGCCCTCCGGGATATCGGGCACCACCACCTCCGTCGCCTTGCTCGCGACGCTCCCCTTCAGGAACGGCTCCTGTCGCACGTTCGCCGCGACCGAGTCCTCCCAGAGCAAGTGCAGCATCTCGCGCCCCTTGAGGCGGTACTGCGCAACCAGCGCCTTACCGCTCTCCTGTATGACCGTCTTCGGGCCGGGAAGGATCAGCTTGAAGGGTGCGGCCGGATGGTTCATAATGTTGCGGATGGCTTGGTAGAGAAACGCGCCAGTCTCGACTGGTGTGATGGTCCACACTGCTGAGGTCTGGTCGGGGAAGCGGACTTTGATTTCGACCTTGGTGACTTTGGCAAGCCGGGCTGCCTCCTCGGCGGCCTCGGCGGCAAGCTCAGCGTCGGACTTGAGACGCGTGTTTTGGGCTCGTTGAAGGAGCTGGTGTTGGCGGAGTTGAGCATGGGCGATGGTTGGTTCGTAGACCGAGTCGTCTTCGTGTGTGTGAGCGGCGGCCGGGGTTGAGGATGTTGGAGCGGCGAAGACGCCGGTTGGTTGTATAGGGTTCGACGGGGAGGGGGCTGCAGCGGATGGTCCGTCTACTTCCATGGGCTCGCCCGCTGTCCTCGACTCGGCTGGAACACTCAGCGCTGCTTCCTCGGTGGAGGCCGGTGTGGCAGCTGAAGCGGCAGCTTCAGGTTGTGCAACTTCCCCCGGAGTACCTTCATCCGCTTTCAGTTCTTCGGTAACCAGAGCCGGGTGGGACTCTGCTCCCTCTTTTGACTTCGATTGTTCCGGCTCCACCTCGTCGAGATACTGAGCGATCTCCTGCATGGCATCGTAAAGCGTCCTCTCGCCGAGCTTGAAAGTAACCCTGAGCACCATGCTACCAGAGTTGATGCCACACTGAGAGAGTGTCTTTTGCAGGTCTTCCATAGCCGCATATTCTCTACCCATGATGTTGACCACAGGAGCGTCGTGGTACAACTGGCCACTGTTGGTCCCCACGAGCACCCCCCTCCCCGTAATGCTCAGGCCCTTCTCCGAGGTTTCAAACTGCCGCATAACCTTCCATAAAGACATATCGCTGGGAAGCTTCTTGGTATACCGCTGACCGTTGACATCAAGGGCAATAGACACCACCGAGGCGCTCTTTGACTTTTGTACGAGCTCGAGTTTGGCGCCAGGACCAAGTCCAGAAGTGCGGAACGGGCCAGTCAAATCAACCAGCTTCTGCTTGTGCCTGGGTTTGTCAGTTGTATATAGTAATGGGGTATCAAGTTGAATGACGACTTACTTGAGCTCATACTTATCGCTCTTTAGGTTGAGCTTCTTACATGCTTCGCCCAACACATCGACAAGGTACGTCCCAGGTGAAACCTTGACTTTGGCCCGTCTGAAATCAGTAGAAACAACCTCGACATGTGTGGACATTTTGGCGAAACTGTGAGGGATTGTTGAAAGGTTGGTGGCCGTTGGACAACTCTGGCACGCGTTGAACCAAGCTCAAGCTCCACTCAAGTGAACGAGTGGGATAGCGTCCTTGTGAGCCTGAGGGTAGAGAAAGTATATCGTAAAAGAGGGTGGGGGGGATGGTATTTATCTCGATACGATTTCTGTAGGATGCTAGTTAGAGTTGATGCGGAACGATCACAGCAAACGGGCTAGTTGTTTGTTTGCTGAGGTACGTTGCTTTGTCAGATGAGAAGCTCGGCGGAGGTGAAGCTCGGGTCTCACGACGCTGTACAAGACAGCCAATCTGATGGCTTATTTGCTATAGAATTTGTTTTTATGGGCCGAGAATATGGTATGTAGCCAGCTTGATACCGGGATGTTTTGATTGACATCAGAGCATGGATGTCGGTGGATACTAGGAATCGCCATTCTAAGTATGTGGGGGGATGAGAGAGCCTGGGGGATGGAGGGGCAATTCCACTGATGAGACGCCCCACAGTGGGAGCTCCCCAGGCTTGTGCCAGGCTCCAACATTACCGCCGCCCGACACCGCCTTTCATACATGCCAGGAACCCCGGTCGCCCCCCATGCCACGCCAGCTGCGTGTTGCCTTGCACCCACCCGAACGTCAACTCCAGCGCAGCCTGTCAGCTGGAGCTCCCAACCCACCCGACCACAGGCTGCTACGAATACCAACTGCTGCACGAGGGAGCTCTCTATCACCCACGGCACCGCAACACCATCAGCTTGCGATCCCGTTTTGCGCCCGCTTCTTGGCAACATATTCAGGCCCACGACAAATTCAGTCTCTTATTTGTGTCGAACACCCCGCCCACCTTGAACCTGAGAGCTCCATCGTTCTTGTCGGCCGTCCCACTTCCCGGAATCATCGACTGCCTACTCGACTGCTCCCAAAGACGTATCATCACCCACAGACAAGATGGTACACCAACACCATGTCCCACTCTCCCCACCGCAATGCTAACAAGATGATTTCTCTCTCTAGTCGTCTCCCTTCTCAATAAGTACTTCTCCCCCGCATCCCAACCCAACCACCACCACACCACAAACCACCAGCAGCACAGCATTCTAACCCCCGCACCCCCCCACAACAGACGGCGGCGCGTGCGTAGCGATGGTGGGCAAGGACTGCGTGGCGATCGCGTGCGACCTGCGGCTGGGGCTGCAGGCGCTGACGGTGTCCAACAACTTCCCCAAGGTGTTCCAGTACGGCGAGAACGTGTTCCTGGGCCTGACGGGCCTGGCCACCGACGTGTCCACCGTGTCGGACCTGTTCCGCTACAAGGTCAACATGTACCGCCTGCGCGAGGAGCGCCACATCGCCCCGCGCACCTTCGCCAACCTCGTCAGCAGCAGCCTGTACGAGCGCCGCTTCGGCCCTTACTTTGTTAGCCCTGTGGTTGCGGGGTTGGACCCGACTACCGGTGCGCCTTTCATCTGCGGGTTTGACAGCATTGGGTGCATTGATTTTGCAAAGGACTTTATCGTCTCGGGGACTGCGACGGAGCAGTTGTTTGGCATGTGCGAGAGCTTGTGGGAGCCGGATATGGTATGTGCATTCTATGACGAGACTTTGATTGTGATGCGAGGTTGCCGTTGGGATGGTTTGCTGACGGCGCGGGTTGCTCGTTATGTAGGGTCCGGATGCGCTCTTCGAGACGATCTCGCAGTCCCTCCTCAACGCCGTCGACCGCGATGCTCTGTCTGGCTGGGGTGCTCACGTCTACATCATCGAGAAGGACAAGGTGACCAAGAGGCTTCTGAAGGGGCGACAGGACTAGATGGTGGTAGTAGAGGCGTTATGGGCTATGATGGGATGGCGGACAATAGTGTCCCAGCGATGTTTAAGCTGGGCATACGGACGTTGTACATAACAGTACAACAGTTCGAGACTCCGTGGTCGATACGCAATGAAGACCGCAGAACAACCACAACCATTATCATGACATGCCTGCTTGTGACTCATGATTCTGCATTGGCTGCTTGCGCAGCCATGTTGGATTATGTACTAGTACTATACAGGTCTACGTATCTATGTACGCCTGCCTCCACTCTATTGGTCCTTCTTCGCCTTTGGCAACCTGCGGGTCGAGCTTTGAACGAAGAATGCCCGCTCAATAAGCTTGAGACCTTCATCGATGAGACTGAGAGGCGTTAGCAATGTTTCAACAAGATCAGAGACTGTAGGGTACTTACACAACAGGCGCGCTAATGTACAACACTGCCTTCCATTCGGTCCAGTTGAGAGGGAGAATGGAGAACAGCGACTGGAGGAACGGAATGTACAACAGGGCGAAGTGAAGCGCCATCGACAGGGTAATGGCGTACACGAGCATCATGTTCTCCCACACGGGGAGGGTCAGGAGCGACTCGCTCGACGAGAGGGCGTTGACGGCGTTGAACATCTCGATGACGACCAGGATGGAGAGCGAGACGGTGGAGCCAGACTTGGCCATATCGTTGGTGAACATCTCGCAGCCGATCTCGGGAAACTCGGTCGAGCAGCGGTGGAAGTGCGACAGCTGGTAGAATGTGATCTGGGGTCCCTCCGAGTGGAACATGAACCACCAGGCGTAACCCGCAACCGTGGCGAGGCCGACGTAGGTGCCGATGACCATGTACCGGAAGAACAGCCAGCCGCCGATCAGGGCCTCATCGCGTTTTCTCGGCTTCCGCTTCATGATGTCATGGTCAGGCGGGTTGAACGAGAGAGCGGTGGCCGGGAGACCGTCAGTGACCAGGTTGACCCAGAGAAGCTGAACGGGGATAAGAGCCTCAGGCATGCCCAGTGCGGCCGTCAGGAAGATGGAGACAACCTCGCCAATGTTGGACGAGATCAGGTAGCGAATGAACTGTTGGGTGTTGTTGTAGATGGAGCGGCCCTCCTCAATGGCGACACCAATGGTAGCGAAGTTGTCATCGGCCAGAACCATGTCGGCCGCGAGCTTGGACACATCAGTGCCAGAACCCATAGCCACACCGATGTCAGCCTTCTTGAGAGCGGGCGCATCGTTGACACCGTCACCAGTCATGGCAACGACCTCACCGAGGGACTGGAGCAGGTCAACAAGCTTCGACTTGTGAGTAGGCTCGACACGAGAGAACAGCGAGGCATTCTTGGCCGCCTCCAGCTGCTCGCTGGGGCTGAGGTTGTCGAACTCGCGGCCCGTGAAACTCTTGCCGGCCAAATCCTCCTTGGGGCCAAAGACTCCAATCTGACGGCAGATGGTCTCAGCTGTGTTGCGGTTGTCACCAGTGACGACAATAACGCGGATACCGGCATCCTTGCACTTTTGGATGGCAGCAGGCACCTCCGGGCGAGGGGGGTCCAACATACCGACCAGACCAATAAGGGTGAGGTTCTGCTCCAGAGCGGCGTACTCGGCGGTGGACTTGGCCTTGTGGAGAAGGGGGTCGCCATTGACGTTCTCACGACGGGCTAGAGCAATGACACGAAGACCCTTGTTGCCGTAAACGACGACTTCCTTCAGGAGCAGATCGGTGAGCTTGCGGTCTAGGGGAACCCGCTTCCCGTCACGTCCGAGCACAGTATGGGTGCAGCGTTCGATGATAGACTCAGGAGCACCCTTGACGAAGAGGTTCTGTTGGCTACCATTCTGAACCAGGACTGACATGCTCTTGCGGTCGCGCGAGAACTCATAGGTTGCAAGCCGCTTGTATTGCTTTTCGTACCAGGAGCTGGCGTAGTGGACACAGTCCTGACCCTGGCTGTTCAAAGGCGCGCAAGGGCCAACCTTCTCGACCATAACACGCAGAGCGCCTTCGGTGGGTTCGCCAACGTTGGAGTAGGTTGCCGTAAGAGGGTGGTAGTCGAGCCGGGCGTCATTGCACAAGGCAGCGACTTCGGTCATCTGAAGAACCGTTGTAGACTCCTGGCTGAGGTCCCGGAGCACCTTGCCCTGGAATTTGATGTCACCCTTGGGTTCGAAAGTCGTGCCTTCGACGTCGAGCTCCTCGAGGTCGGTGCCCTGGTTGTTGAGATAGACGATCTTGCTAACACTCATTTGGTTCGTGGTGAGGGTGCCGGTCTTGTCGGAGCAGATAACGCTGCAGCTTCCGAGAGTCTCGACGGACGGCAAGCTCCTGACCACGGCGTTCTTGGCAGCCATCTTGCGGGTTCCGAGGGCGAGGCAAGTGGTGATAACAACGGCAAGACCCTCGGGGATTGCGGCAACACCAAGAGAAACGGCGATCTTCAGGTAGTAGATGGCGCCCTTAGTCCAGTTTCCGTGGTTCGCGTCGTTGAAGTGAGGGATGTTGATAAGCCAGACGAGGACACAAATGACAGTGATAACCTTGGCAAGCTGGTCGCCAAAGTCGTTCAACTTCTGTTTCAGCGGGGTTGGCTCCGAGATCTGAGCGGTGATGCTCTCGTGAATGTCGCCAATGGCCGTCTTCGAACCAGTCAAAACCACCACAGCCTTAGCGTGGCCGGTCACGACAGTCGTTCCCGAGAAGAGCATGTTGATTTGGTCCTGAAGCACCGCCCGATCGTCACTGATAACAGCCCGGCAGTCCTTGCCAACGCTCTCACTTTCTCCAGTCAAGATGGCCTGGTCGACGGCGAAACTGTTGCTCTCGATTGTGACAAGACGGCAATCGGCGGGGATGCGCGCGCCAACGGCGACGTCTACGATATCGCCGGGCACAAGCTCCTCGGCCTTAATCCGGTGAATCTGACCATTGCGAACGACGTTGGCCTCGTTGGCCGAATACTCCTGCAGAGCAGCAATGGCCTTTTCGGCACTGCTCTCTTGCGAGACTCCAACAACAGCATTGAGTACCAAGATGGTGAGGATGACGGCCGGGTCGACGAACGCGCTCCAACCCCCTTCGTCTTCGAAAAGTGCCAACACAAACGAGATAGCAGCGGAACCGAGAAGGATGAGGACTAGCTGGTCCTTGAATTGTTCGAGAATGAGTTCCCAGAGAGGGGTAGGTGGTTCTTCGGCGATCGCTGTCCAGGAAGATGTTAGCGACGAAGGAGAGGGAGACGGAACCGGGGCTCGATAGGCGCCACATACCATTCTTCCCGTGCTTGGCTCGAGACTTCGAGACTTGCTCGTTGGTTAACCCAGTCGCTTTGCTCACACCGAGCGTGCCAAGCACTTCGTCAATCGACTTCGCGAAGGCGTTTTCCATGCTGCAGGCGTTGCCGGCCCCAGGGTGGCAGCGGGGCGTCTCGGATATCTATGAAGAGCTGCAGGCAGGGAACGGGAAGCCGAGATTGAGGAAACCCTGAATAGTTACCTATTCACCGTGAAAAGATCCTCCGATGCAAAGAAAACTAATGCAATTGTGAGGATAACATAGACAAAGCAAGGCAACAACAGGCCTTCTTGAGGAAAGAAAAATGACAAAAGCGAGTGGAATGGAGATTTGAAACAGATTCAGCCTTCCAACCGTTCCGGGCCCATGTGCACTGGACGACGTGTCCAATTCAAACAAATCGCCTCTCGGCGGCTTTCGTTAGGTGGGTGGAGTGGCTGCTGACAAGTGGTCGCCCACAGCCGCGCCCCAATTGCGGTCCCAACGTCTAATCCCCCTTGGTCCAGGCGCATCGAACCCCGCCGAACCCTCTTACCTCCGACTCGGCTCTGCAGGTCAGCCTTGGAAGGCCGTTGCCGACTCTCCCAGCGCACAGGGAACCAATCAAAGTTCAATCCAAGAGCCGACAGAACCGTGTTCACGATCGGATTCCCCGTCTTGTGGACACTCAATGCCTAGAAAGGACGGAGTTTCTTCGGGGTACGGCAGGCCGGAGGACGGGACTCCCGGGAGTCGGCGCGGCCCCGGCTGTCGGTCCGCTGTTGGTTCGAGATAAGGCCTGGTTTCTGGCCATGTTTTGTTGGTGTCGTTCTTGTCGGACGTCAAAGTGGCCCTGGAAGGGATGTCATGTAACAGCAGCCACAGGTGTGGGGGTTCGAATGTTCTGGTGCCTTGTGTGTTGCTAAAAGCCACGATCAAGCCACGATTATCCTGGATGTTTGAAACGCGGGGAGAATGTCTAGCGCGTTTGGCTGGAGCAAACCACAAAGGACACAGGGTTGGTTTGTTTGAATATGTGCAAACTGTTTGGGCGCCGACACATGGATGAGTAATTTAGGCCGTCACATATGTAGATTGATGTAGATTCAGGCAACCCATTTCTTGCCTGTGGTAATGTCCCTATTCGTACCAAGAACGATATCGCGGCTGTCACCTAATTTTTACCCCGCCAACCCCACCTCCAAGTCAACAACACAACAAGCACATCAGGATTCAGAGCTTGCTCACTGGACGACACCATCCAGGCAACCATAATTGAGGAATACATAGACCTTCATAAGGTCCTCGGCCAGCCCCAGAATCCACAAACTCGGCACAGCAACCTCCCAAGATGGCTCCCCCAACGCCCCTCGCCATCGCGACGCAGGCAGTCAACCGCCTCGTCAAGGAAGAATCCTATTACCACAAGGAGCAGGCCAGCCAAGAGAAGCGCATCAAGAAGCTAGAGGAGGATATCGAGAGCAACAGCCCCGACCTGGATACCAACGCCGAGTACATTCTGAAGCAGGAGGTGGGTCACCCATTGCAAACACACCCATACCAACCCTAACCCTCCATCTAGAAAACCGCCCTGGAGGAGACCAAGGCAGTATTCGAGCCGTTGAGGCAGCGCATCTCGGACGCGGTGGACAAGCTCGAGGAGCAGATTGCCATTTCGGAGAGTGATGGTACCGGTCCTGAGGAGGAGCTAAAGAAAGCAAAGGAGGCGCTGGAGACGGGTCAAAAGGCTGTCGAGAAGGCAGAGCAGTCTTAAACTCGACGCATACTTTTCTGCGTGTGTTGATACAATATGACGGAGTACATGTTCGCTGGCATTGAGGGATACCGATGTCAGATAATGGCCTACTTGGGTAGCTTACATCACACTGACAAATGCCCGGAAGTGCCATATCTGTACATTCATAGGCCAAGGACTAGATGTCCCAAGATTAAATTACGGCCTGCGTAAGCGATGCGCCGACAGTATTTAACGGACTACGTTGTGTCCATACTCTCTCCCTCCCCGTTGACTACGATCTGCGGCGTGTCATCGGCAGGAGGCGGAGTCAGGGGACTATCAGGTTCTGATCCAGCATCTTTCGCATCCTCCGGCTCGCCCATCTCAACATCCTCTCCCCCCTCGGCTTCGCCCTGGGTTTCCCTCTCGACAGAACCCTCACGACTGCCCATCCGGCTACCCATCTGACTGCCAACTTGTGAAAAGCTCGCGTCCGTGGCTGTCGCTCGCTTGGCCAGAAACGATTGACTGTCCAGACCCGGCGCAGGGCTATCTCTCGCCGGCGTCCGGCCGCCAGCAGACACTGGTCGGGGTGTACCCACAGCATCACTCTCAGCGCCACTCTTCGGGGCCAACCCGCCCTCGGGTCTGGGCGATCCCTCCCGACTCCCCATCCCCGAGGGCCGCGGTGTACCCCCCGCCTCGTCGTCATCCATCCCCTCCCTCCTCTCGACCTCCTCCTTCTCGTCGCGAATCAGCCTCCTCAGCCGCATGCTCTCGTCCATGATCCTGGCAAACTGCTCCCTACGCTCGTGCCAGGTAACACCATAGGCCTCCCTCTCGGCCTCGAGCTCCGCAATCTCGTCGCGCAGCTTGCGCAGGTTGGCGGTCTGCTCGGCGCGCGGGCGCAGGGACGCGTTGCTGGTGATGGCGTCAGCGAGCGCGTCGAACTCGCGCCGCTGCGCCAGCGTCTCGCGCGCCTGCTCCAGCTGCACCCGCAGCTGGGCCGTGTTGTCCCGGACCGACTGCGACGCCGCCACGATGCGCTCCCGCTCCGCCGCGTACCGCTCGCGCTCGCGCTCGTTGGCCGTCAGTAGGAACTGCAGCCGCGCGATGCTGCTGTCAAAGGCCGCGAAGTCAATCGTCACGTCCTCCTTGAGCTGCGCGAGGTCGGTCGACGCGCTGTCGGCGCTTGGGGCTGGGGTGCCATCGCGTTGTTGTTGTTGTTGTTGTTGGCTGGGGGTGGCTTGGAGTGATTGCTGACTGGGAGTGCCGTTTGTTTCCGGGGGTGGGGTCGGCGCTTGTCGAGCTCGTGCGATTGTAAGGGAGTGGAGGGTGTTGAGGCGCTTGGTGATACGTTTGAATGGTTTCTCTTCCACGTTGAGAAGCCGGGACTTGTGCAGCTCGGTTTCCTCCTTGTCGTCGAGAAGGCCCCAGGATGCCATCTTGTGGCCGCTATTGTCGTAGAATCACAAATTATTGGTAGAGCGGGAAAATCGAGATTCGGATTAGGCGGGCAAGGAATCTCGAATGGTAATTTCTGGCATTTGATGTTCAGAGACAGATATCTTGGGAATGGAGTACAGTTCTCGATTAATCCAACCCCTGCTTGAGCCGCACACGGGTGTGGGGCGGAACCATGACACACAGTGTGTTCCACAGTATCCAATACATTGAGCTGCAATGACACACGCATGAGATGACGCAGACAAAGGGCTGAGATTCGCACAGTGCGATAAGGCCTCTAGTGGCAACCACACCAAGAACCTCACATGCTCTTGCCATCCCAACTGACACTTTCCATAACACTGTGCAACTAAGGTACTCTTGCGATGTCTTTATCGGCTCATAACTTACAGTGCGCTACAGATTAAACTCACCGTAACAGGGCAGCATCTATTCGGAAAGAGCCTTTGAATGCATACCGGCGCAGCCTCTTTATAGCAGGACTGCCCTTAACGACCCAAATCTTCACTCTGAGGAGCACTTGGATACCTGGGCACCTATTCAACAGAGGGGCTCGAAATTTTCCCGGAACTCAGTGGCCTGAACCGGTGACTCGAGCCGCGCAGCAATGCTTGAAGATTATCAGCAGACCACTACGAAACTTGATAGGCATCGGCATTATCCCCCAACACTCCGCCTGCATCTCGAGCCCATCATCCTACCTTCAGCTATCTTCGAGCCGGCTTCTAGACGCTTAGGTACACTGCACAACACCTCAAAACTGCTATCGATACCGCACTAGCTCGCTCCCGATTTGGAGGCGCTCCCAAAATAAACCTATAGCGATTGGGCCATCGCTTTTCCTATCGCCTGTCCCACTGTCCACCTCTCGTCTCGTCATCCAAAATATCAATCGATTCATCTCCGATTGCTCAGCCTGCGGTTGCTAAGCAAATAAAGCATCTCCCATTGCCCTCATCATCAAACCTCATCTTGACATCAACCTGTCAACCTCAACTCTTTCAACCTGAACCAGCGTCCATTTCAAGTTGCCCACAATGGCCCAACAACGCACTCTCGTGGAAACCCCCCTGGGGCCCCGCCTCGTTGTGGAAGTCCCCCTTGGTGCTCGATCTCTTGCAGAGATGAGCTTGAAGGTGGCAATCGACAACGTCAAAATGATCCAAAGTCTGGGCGACATCCCTCCTTGCTACCTCGACCCGATCCTTCAGGCTGTCAAGTCAGCCGAGCAGCTTCACATCATAGAGATTAACAGTTATGACATCTACGATGAGACTGAAAAGCACTGGAAACGCATCATCAAGAAGGACTTCCCCATCCTCGCCAATAGGCACGATTACGTTCCCCAAAACCGAAAGTCGTGGCACAAGATCTACAACAAGTACAAGCAGCTTGACAATGAGCAGCTCGCTGCTGCTACCGAGAAGCTGATGCAGGGGTTCGCCGTACACACCCAAGAGAAGCAGTCTCGCGCCTCCACCATCATCTCAGCAGAGAAAGGCGGAAAGCTACGCAAAACCAAGGCCAAATCCGGGTTCAATACGCCACGTTCGGATAACAGCTTCATCTCCAACACCAGAGCTCAACTTCGTCGAGAAGCGTTCCGCTTCAACCGCCCGACGCCGTCGGGTCAACTTCCCGTCCGGCCAAATCAGATCAAGAAGCCACCCCCCGCCATGGTCGACGACCACCGCAGAATGGCGTGTGGCAACTCAATCCCCGAACCACCTCCGATGATTCGAACGCCGCGTCAGAGATCAGCTCCAAACGCTACCGGCAGTGCCCAGAACCGCAAGGAGGGCGAGTCACGCCTCCTCCAGATCAAGAATGGGGGTCGACCCAATACCGGACCTGCCAAAAATGTTCTCAGCTTCAGCGACGACGAGGGCCCCAACGATTCTCTGCCGAATGATGCTGATCTCTTTGGCGACGCGGATGATGATGATCTTTTTGGAGACCTTGAACAGGAGAAAAAAGCTTCTTCTGCCCCATCACCACAGAAGTCACGCCCCACGCCTCAGCCGGCCCCGACTCAATCTTCCAAGCGCCGCCGTATCGTTGAGGATATAGACACTGAGCAGCCAACCAAGCGCCCTCGCGGTTTCGAAACAACAACTACTTCTGCCTTACCGCCGCCTAACAAGGCCCCCAATCAACCTCTTAAACCCCGCCCCAAGGGTTTGTCGGCAGCGCCGGGCATCAACCAAGCCCCGCGTAAGATGCCCCCCGGGTCTGCTCTCAAGGCAGCGGCCCCAAGCGCCGCGCCGCCTCGTAGGTCCTTTTCCGCTCATACCGGGTTCTCTCAACCGCCCCGCGGCCACCCCCCGCCGGAGTCCTAGCTTCACCGCCCCGTCCCCCGATACTAGAACCCGGAAATCAAGATTACCCCTCAGGGGTTGACCCCGAATAAGAGCCAGATGGCGGTTGCTAACAACCATAAGATTCCGCACCACAAGAAGGACGAAGACGGTGACCCGATGTTCGAGAATGGGAAGCCGGTACCCACGCACAGACAGGCGGGGGAGCCTACGCGATGATACGACCCCCGAAGAAGCTAAAGTCGCCCTGAGATCTCGGTGGTTTAGGTAGGGTAGGGCGAGGGTTCATGGTTTGGAGTTACGGCTTGGTGGTTTGACGGTTAAGTTTCATGGTTTCACTGGTCTATGGTTTTATTGTGTCGTGGTCTCGTGGTCTCATGGTCTTCTGGTGTTGTGGTTTACGACCACTGATTTACTTGCATGGTGTTCTCGGAAAGATCCTGAGGTTGTTTCGGCGATGTTGCTGTTATATTTCAGCTACAGGGTTCTCAGAGTCATAGCATTGGGGATTTCCGTGGTTGTTGCATGGGTTCTAGATATCAGACGGGTATACGTTGAAACCCAGTGGGATAGGGTAATTATTTTCGAATTTCTAAACATGACATTTGCAGGCAGCCGGTGATTGATATAGAAGTTCCACATTGCTAATATCACCGACTTCTATTTGTGGTTCCTCCCCGGATTGTCAGCTTGTAACCACCGTTGTGAGAAGAAGAGAGACAGGCTTAGAACCATCATCGGCAGCTCCAAACAACGAACTACTAACAAGACTAACGCCCACCTCCTCCCTTGGTGGCGTACACATTCCACATTCTACAACACAGGCAGTCAAACCAGGTCCGTTATTTCCCGCTGTCTTTCCTAGCAGGGTACCAAAAAATATAAAACGCTAATGCACCGTCTTGCCCGGGTCGGTAAAATAGGCAGCAGGATCCCCGATCACTTTCTATTCCCCCTCTCCCCTCTTGACTCAACTCGAAACCTCATCAGCTACGCACACCGTTTCCTCTCTCTTCCCTTTCATAGCCCTCCCCTGAGCGCCAGAACCAAGTGCAGCGTGGCCCCGCCGACTAGGGCGTAGTCATCCGCCGTCTTGTCGTCGACCCTGGCTCTGGGTTTAGTACGGGAGTTGGGGAATGGGCTTTGGAAATAACCACCGCACTCACATCTGCTTGCCACCGTGAATGAGACGCTGCTGTGCGGGCGGGATACCCTCCTTCTCCTCGACGAGGTCCTTGATTTTGGAGACCTTTTTTGGGGGGGGGGGGGGGGGGTCAACATCTCGACACCAGTAGATAAATAGATATGTAATAGATATATGAAAGGGGGCCGGGACGGGACAAAAGTACCTGATCGCTCCCCTCGACGTCGAGCTCGATCTCCTTGCCGGTAAGCGTGCGGACCCTACGGTTGGGGGGTGGTTCATCGGTCAGTAACGGGGGAGGGTGCTCCCTGCTCCAGGATAGGCGGGATGGTGGTGGCGGGGCAGGCGGCATCCATTCCGCGGCGGGACATACTTGATGAGCATCTTGGCGGACGATGATTGTTGACTTGGTTTTTGGTTTTGAGGCGGTGGTGGGGTTGATGAAGTTTGAGGTTAGGGGTTTTTTTGCTGGCTTGGAGCTTGAGCTGCAAGCACGGCGGGGTCGGGATGCAGTCCGAATCTGGGCGGTCGGTGGCAAGCAGGCTGAAGGCAGCAGAGGTGCAAGTTGGGAAGTGAGAAAGGTGATAAGGAGGGGTAGTGGGGTAACTGCAGTGAGGTTAGAAGTGGGGCTATGTCAATGCAAGTCGTTGCCTCGCAGTTTGCTTGATATCGGCGGCAGGGACATCGGAGTCAACTGGTCAAAAATCGATCTTATGGTCTATGTGGGAAAAGGTTGAAGGCCTATCAACTATTACCTCATACTTTATCCATGGTTATTATGAAGCATCCATTTTTGACCGAAGCTCACAGTCAACCGGGAAAAGCCAGGCGGCCTTTGACCTTTGTCATTAACTTTCCAATAGCCGGACGATTCCATTACTTTTAGGTCCCCTTTCTATACATTCCCCGCTGGTGGACGAGATGGGGATTGTGCTTCCAGCTCGTGGCCCGGGCTCTTCACATCCATCTCCTGCGCAGCAACCTCATTCGCGGTCAGCTCTGCCGCCCCCCAATGTGTTTGTTGACCGCCGAATGTATAGTAACTCCCTTCAAGCTCTTGCGGTGGCCGAGGTTCGGCGTCAACTTCCAACGGTGTCTTTGGCGGCCCCGGTACGTCTTCCGCGTGTAGCTCCGGTTTGCCGGTCCACGCTTCTTCCGGGTTTTGAGATCGTTTCCGTCGTCGGGCAAAAAAGGAGTAGATTCCCATAAGAATAGCGAGACCTGCCACTCCCCCGATCACCGGACCAGCAATCCATGCCTGGCTATCCCCTGAGTTGCTCGAGTCAAGGGATGCTGCTCAGCCTTGCGTTAATCACAATCCTCGGAATTCAAATTCAAGAGAAAACGAATAACCATACCACTGTCACCAGTTTCCATGCCTCCAGCTCCTGTCCGTGAACTGGTGCTTTGCTCAAAGCCCGTCCAATCGGATCGGGTGACGAGCAAGTCCACCACTACGGTGTAGACTTTATCGGTTGTAACGCCGCCCTCTACCAGGCCGGAGAATGTGGCTACTGACAGGGTGGTAGATTTTGTAAGCCACGATGTCGGAATGGTGTAATGGACGGTGGACGTGGTGGACACGGGGTTAGTGTCGCAGTAGGCAATGCCCTCGCTCCACGGGGGATTGTCGTTAGGATCTACCCCGTTCGCTTCGAGGCAACTATTGCATTGCTCAGAGTATTCTCGAAACGGCCCTGCAGGGTCACAGAGCGAGGGGTCGGCGCCTATTTGTTGGAATACCAGCAGGGCATTATCTACAATAGACGAACAATTAATATTCGGGTGCATCATCAACGTCCTGGTCAGAATATAATCTCATACTGCAATCATCAAAGCATACTGCTGGGGTGGCGACTCCCCATCCTACTGTTGTGCTGCTGGGGGAGGCAGGGCCGCCGACCTGACCCTGATTAGCAAAACCGGAGACGATAGAGGTCGCCTGCCGGGGAACCGGGCGCATTGCTAAGGCTGTAGAGGATGAGTAAACTACCATAGAGGATGTCGACAGAGAATCTTCGACAGCTTCAGCCTTGCTGGGCTCTGGCTACTTTATACTGGCCTCGCCGCCCAAACAAGTGTGGGTGGTAATGCGGGGGCGCAATCAATCCCCCCATCTCTGCGGCTATAACCATGATTCAAGGAACATTTGTTGGTCGCGACTGCATTTAGACGAATGAAATGTTGTGAAACGCTGCATGGCGCATGCGAGGGTCTTCTCAAATCCGAGGCAAGATCGCCAATCTAATTAACGATGTAACTAGGAATCGCCCAACTATCGCACAAATGCAGCGTCAATATCAGTAAGCAAGGCTCCTTGAGAAGAGAGGAGCTGAACTTTCACAAGCCCAGATTCATCATGTTGTTACACGGAGATTGCTCGCCAAATCCCCTTAAACATACAGTAGAGATTGTCCATTGCGCCTAACAGACGCTCCCGCTTCCTTACTTCCTCTCAGTCTGGTCGAAAACATTCAGACCCAAGCCTTCTGCGTCGAGTAGGAGTCTGTTCTTGCCGCCTGCCTCTTGCAGAAGCCCGGCAATCGTGCGAGCATTCTCCAGTTTCTTCAGCTCCACATACGCCTTGTTCTTCTTGATAGCATCACCAATGAGCTCGGCGGACCGGGCCTCACCCTGTGCCTTGACAACCATGGCTTGCTTCTCCTGCCGGGCCTTGTCGACGACGAAGGCGGCGCGCTGTGCCTCTTGTTGGGCAACCTGCTTGGCCTCAACCGCTGCTGTGAATTCCGGGGAGAAGGCGAGATGCTGCATTTCTAGTTAGCAAAATCCAATGCAACCCCACGCATTCTGGTAACTAACCGTCAGGGATACATCATCCAGGGTGATGTTGAATCGCGCGGCTCTCCGCGACAGATTCTCCCGCACGAGCCTGGCGACCATCTCTCTTTGGGTGATCAGTTGGCTGGCGTTGAACTGGGCCACAACACTCTTCAGGACTTCGTTTACAATCGAGGGGAGGACACGCTCATCGTAATCCTGGCCGAGGGTCCGGTAGATCTGGGGGAGGGACTGCACATCAGGCCTCGAGAGCACACGGCAAGTGATGTTGACCATTTGGAGATCCTTCGTGCCGGTCAGGGAGGAAACGTTTCTCGGTTTCGCTCGCACATCGTAGATAATGGGTGTTTCGAACCACGGGACCATCAAATGGGTACCTAGAGTCAGGTTAGTCTGTGTTCTCGACATGGGTATGGTATCGATATTGGCGGGGGTGGCGGGTCGCACCTTCGGCGTAGATATCTTTGCTGACACCACTCAACCTCCGGTATTTGATCGCTCTGTGACCACCATCGACGTTGAATAGGGCGTTCTGGAAGAGGAGTGCGCCGCCGCCGAATAAAAGAAGACCGGCAAGACCGGCACCAATACCGCGGGGAGAGCCGCCGGGGAAACCGCCAGGGAAGCCAGGGCCTCCACGGCCGCCGGCCTTCGCAGCGGCCCGGATCCGATTGGCGTAATCCTCAAACGGGCTGCGATTCGACATCTTTGCTGGTGGTCAATGGTTGAGGCTCTCGACAAACCCACAGCTCGGTTTGCTTGGTGGAGAAAGAGCTTCAGTACCTACCTAAGCTTTCAAGGGCCAGTTGGTCCGTGCGCTGCGAGGTTTCCTTTGACTCGCTCACGTGTGCCAAAACCGTTCCCTTTCAACAACCCCTGTCCGTACGGTATGGTACATGCACTTATTGTGTCATGTTTGTGTAATGTAACTATCAACTGGAACGCGACCTTCAACCTCTTTTTCGTCCTAACATTCATCATTGATCTCTAAAGAAATTCGCCAATCTCATTCAAACCACACTGCCTACCTAGAACTGGCCTAACTGCAGGACTCACGTGAGTTAAAGAGGGACAGAGCGCTTGGAAAGCCCCAATTGTTGCGCTAGCCCACTTGCTTTGGCATAAATCCATCACCTGCTGCCTTTGTTGGTTCTCCATCTCTCCATCGCTCACTTCCGACCCCAGACGTGACCTTCACAACACTGCACATTCCCCGTGCCATCGTTCCCCGTATCGATACTTTGATTGTCCCTACATTTTTCATCAAGTAGCCGTTACAAGCAGTTCTGCAGGGCAATTGCCCAGTTTCACACACCATGTCGACCCGACAACCCTCTCGGGTTGTGTTCGTGGGGAATATTCCGTATGGTAAGCTACGTGTGCCATGGTTGCCGCGATCTGAACTTTGCTGACCCACGTCGAAAGGCTTAACGGAGGAGCAAATCACAGAAATCTTTAGTGGTGCAGGCAGAGTACTGAACTTCAGGCTTGTTTACGATCGTGAAACTGGTCGACCCAAAGGGTTTGGATTCGCTGAATTCCCTGACTACGGTACGCCCTCCCACTCTTTCACAACCAGCCTTCTCTTCTCTTCCTTTTTCTACAAAATCCATCAATTACTGACGGCACTCTGTCTCAGATTCTGCGGCTTCAGCAGTCAGAAATCTCAACGATTACGAAATCATGGGTCGCAAGTTGCGCGTCGACTTTAGTAACGAGACGGTCAGCGATGAGGACAATCGCGACCGCGATGGCGCAGTATGTATTTTCCTTTCTTCCCCGCAATTCCCTTCCCATCCTCATCCAGAATCCATCAATCTAACCGCACTCCTCAGGCCGGCACCAGCGGTGGCAATTACTCCAACCCCGCCACAGCCAACGGCAGCGGCGCCAATGTCCCCTCCGCTTCGATACAGGCCGCTGGCCCGGGTGGCGGCGGCGGCTCTTCTCTCCCGCCGCTCCCGCAGGGCAAGGACCTACCCCCCGGCGTCTCCTGCACCGATGCCATCTCGCGCACTTTGAACACGCTCCCCCCCGCCCAGCTCCTCGACATCTTGCAGCAGATGAAGACGCTGGCCACCAACGACCCAGCGCGCGCCACCGAGTTGCTCTCCCAGGCGCCCCAGCTCAGCTACGCCATCTTCCAAGCCCTGCTGATTATGGGCCTGGTCTCGCCCGACGCCATCAACTCGGTTCTCGAGCCCGGTGCCGGCCCCATCATGCCCCCCGCAGCCGGCCCGGCCGCCGCCACGGGCACGCCCCCCGTCGCCGCGCCTGGTGGCTACGCGCCGCCGCCTCTCGCCGCGCAGCCCCCCGCCATGCCGGCTCCCGCCGCGGCTGCCCAGCCCCCCGCCGGCCAGGACCCGGAGGCGCTCATGCGTGCCGTCATGGAGCTGCCGCAGGAGACCATCGACCAGCTGCCCGAGGCGGAGCGCCAGCAGATCATGGCGCTGCGCGCGAGCTACAGCGCGCAGACCCGTCGCTAAAGCGCTCAGGCTGAGTGCAGCAGGCAGACCTCGTGCGAGGGAAAGCGGTGGTATAGGCGAGAAGAGCGGAAAATCTGGCGCGTCTCTTATTGATTGCATGCATGCATGGCGGTTGGGAGCTCTGTTTCCTTCCGGCGGTTTCGTTTTCTCTTCTTCTTTCTCTTTCTGTTTCTGGCGTTTCGGAAATGGGGCAGGCTAGGTAGAAAAAGGCCCGCGGTGCAAATGCAATGCTATATATATGGGATTCTTCCGGACAGCTGGGCTATGATATTGGGACCGGTGATTATGAGATATCAGTCGCTAGTTTGTCGTAGACCACGTTTAGGGAGTTCTAGCAACAAGATGATTTCAGCCGATATATTAGGAATGGAGAACGAGGCACTTGTGAAGGCGTTCCATCGATGTCAGACATCATTCTTGAACCTAGGTATGTATTAAAAGTCAATACACACACGCTTGCCAGCGTGCGTTGCTAACCAATATTGCAAATCCACGCACCATTTCCAACGCCATAATGCAATTCTAGCCAACCCAAACAGCCTCGGTAGCCATGCAACCTATATCTGTGGCATATGTATGTATGCATTCAACACAACCTGCCCAAGCAATGCAGCCTCCCTCCCCAAGGGTAAAGACCCCACATAGGCAATCCTCTAAAGTTCAAACAATGTTATACACCCTCTTCGCAATCATAAAGCACCCCAGGCCAAAGCAGAGCAACCCCGCGGTGATGGCAATGAACCAGTTGAGGTCGCCCTCATACTCCTGGCCCGGTACCCACACGTTCATGCCCCACAGACCGGTGATGATATTCATGGGCAACACAATGGTGCCCAGCACCGTCAGCTTCCCGAGTACATCGGCGGTCTGCTCCTGCCGCTCGTTCATGCGGATGTTGATCTGGGCGAGGTAGTTCCCATGAGAGCGAGCCAAGATCCTGGTAAAATCCGTTGGTTAGCTTGTTGTCAGATGTATTCCGGCACAGCAGAGCAACTTACTTCTCGTAGTGACTCAGGTTCGAAGTCATGGTCACAATATGATCCTGAATGTCTCCGAGGTACAAGCCGATCTCGGATCGTGGCGCCACCTCCCAGTGCTCGTTGCAGCGCTTGGCGAAGCCCTTGATCACGTCCGCCTTATTGCTGAGAAGCCGGTAGAGCGACATGACCTTCTTGCGGCAGTCTCCGACCCGCCGGAGCATGTCGCGACCAGCCTCGGCTGACTTCACCTCGGCCGAGTCCGACTTTTCGTTGAGTCGCCGCTTCTCCTCTCTCATGGCTTGGTCTTCCTCCGAATGCATTTGCAGGATGGCGTAGTCGATTTCGTCGACTTCATCCTCGATGTTTTGGATAAGTGGCACGAAGACATCGGTGATGTCGTCGATGATGGCATACGAGATCCAGTCGGATGAGAGAATAAGATAGTCCCGCAGCTGACGAATGCGCCTCCGTACGTTGGCTGGATGCGGCGTCACCGAGAAGTGGAAGCTGAGAACGCATTCCCGGAATACGACAACGTACATGTTGACGGGCTCGAGGAAATTATCGCTGGCCAAGTCCTGGTCGAAAGAACGGTAGTTAACAAAGTAGTAGTTGCGGAAAAGCTCTACCTTTTCCCGCTGCTCTTGCATCATGATATCCTCGGCCGTCAACGGGTGTATCCCGAAGGCTTTAGAGATCACTTTCATCTCAGCCTCAGTCGGACTGAGAATATCGAGCCACCACACCGGACGATCTCCGTATTTGAGGGGTTTTTGCGGGTCCCCGTTCTGCGCTGACTTCAAAGGGTCTTCTGGAGGTTTCAAGCCGGCAGGTGTATGCCCACCCGAGTCCGCCCTGGTGGCTTCACTATGAGTCGAGTGTTTCCGCTCCGATTCGTGGGTTGTGGTCGCTAACGATGGTTGTCGCGATGGGATGAGTGGATCACCACCTTGCCCTCCAAGTACTTGGTATAGATCGATGTTCGGTTCTTCCTCATCGTCGCTGTCGTCGCTATCGGAGAGAACCGGCGGGTCGGGGACAAAAAGCTCCCGAAACGTTCCCCCCGGTTGCACCAACTCCGAAATGGACTGGCTGTGGATAGTGCTCTGGAATTCTTCGTTGAAATAGGTGAAGCGATAGGGCGCTGCCTCCTCGGCCTGAAACCATCCTCGGTGTACAGGTCTCAGCCTTCCATTGATCAGTTGCGGCTCTGTGATCCTCTTCGCACGGCGTTCCTCGCTTCGGCCTTCCTTTTCAAACCTACTCCATTCATCCAAAATAGACAGATCGGGCCATTTCCCACGTCGTCTTCGTGGCCTCGGCCGGTACGCGGTATCACGGACGCTAGGCTCGTCAAGTTCGGAGAGGCCTTCTTGTGGAAAACAAACGTCTTCTTGGGCTTGCAGAGCGATGGTTTTCCTCCTGCCCAGCGGCGATGGTCTGTCTTCATCTTCATCCCCGCTCCCCTTAGTCGTGGAATGCTCGCCGTGATCGATGTCGTCGCGTAGCAGTACATCCCCAAAGCTCATGGTCATATGGTCGGTGGCGTGGAGAGCGGGCGATCCCGGTACGGAGGGCGGGTAGTTCACATTATAGACATCGCCAAGGCGCCTCTTTTTGCTGCTACTCGCCATGCTCGAATCGCGTCGGCTCGTGGGGCCGGTCTTTCGCGGAGTATCGCCCGTTCCATAGCCAGGGACAGTGTCGCTCCTCTGAAATGCCGGGCTGGGGAGCAGAGGAGCCCCCTCGTCCTCTTCGTCGCTATCTACCCTGGTTGCCACCCTCGGTCTTGTGGTGGGTTGCGCAGGCGGGATGGAGGCGCTGGTCGTCATCACGGAGGGGCGTCTAGGTCGTAGAAACGGCGGCTGTTCCCTGAAGTTCAACTGATTAGCCCTTAAGGGTAGGGCAACACGCGCACGGTCGGCGGTCCTTACCGATGGTCGAGCAGCGCTTCGCTCTCCATGCTCGTGGCGCTGAAGTTACGACCCGGCCTCGTATAGAAGCCCGGTGGGGGGTCGCCTAGCCCCTCTTCGTTGTCGCCGTCCTGCGCTATCTCATCGGCAGGTAGCGCAAATGATTTCCTTCTCTGCTTCTTTTTCTTCCCCCCTCTGTGGTTTTTGCGTCTTCTTGGGCCGTGACCAGTCGAGGATGGGGGGTTTGGTGTGTGGGGAGACATCAAGCCGGATATCTCCGGGGGTGGTTGTTGGTTTGACGAGTCCATTGGGGCCAGGAACCAAGACAGCGGGTCTAGGCAGGCTAGCAAATCAGCCTCGCTGGGTCCCTGTCCTGTTTCAACGAACAACGATAGTTATCGTTCTCGCTTCTCGGGCACGTGGGGGGCCAAACTCGACTGCCGTTGCTGAGGTATCCCGATTGAGCCACAAGGCATCGAATGACGGGTGATAAAGTGGATGAGGAAGCAAGAAGAACTGCGAGTGTGATTGGGGCCACGTCCAAGAGTGGATTGAAAAGTGAAGATCGAGGCCTTGGTCGAGTGCTCGGCCTAACGATGAGGCAAGGCTGTCGGATCTGCAAAAAGGGCGGTGTCGCTGGCGGATATCACAAAATTATGGCAGGGTCGGCGGTCGGTGGTGTCCGCAAAAGATGGAGGGCGGTCGCATTGTCGGAAACTCTGGTGTTGAAAGACAAAATGCTGGTCGGCTCGGGTGGCCAAGGTTCCAACTTCCTGGTGATGGGATGTCAGCCAGGCAAGCAGATGCTGCATTCAGCATGCGGCTGCTCATTGGTTGGTTTAGGATGGTATGGGGGTCTTCGCACTGTGCCTAGCTCCGGCGCAGCTCCCCGCACTGCGCGGGGGTTCGACTCCACAGTGGGAATTCATGAAGAGCGGACTGAGTCAGAGACCGGAAAGGATAGAATCATTGCAAGTCAAAGTAAATCAGTAGTTAGTTAGTTTGTTTTAATTGGAATACTTCGGAATGTCTCATGTTGTTGAGCTTTTGAGTTGTCAGGAGTAGCTAGTCTCCACACCCACAACATCCCCTAATTATGCCTTACAAGCACAACGTTAGCAAGAGAGGTTGGTACGTCTATTTGTATTCGTATCACATTGGAGCTTTCTTTGCACCTTGTATGGCCATATGTGTGTCCCAAGCATACAGGTACACAATCGGGACCTCGGTACGCACAAACTACATTCTTCGAATCCTACTATGCGTAAATTGCATTAGCAGGCTTCTCGAGGAGAAACCCAGTACAAATTCCTCACCATTTATCATCTGCGCAGTAGTTACCTACCTTTATTTAACATGGCAAATCCCTCATCATCCGAGGTGATTATGGGGCGATAGCGGAGGGGTTTGTGGAACCTCCGGTACTTGTACACCACAGCTCAAGAGAGCAGTGGAGGCCGGGCTATTACGGCGGCCACTCCCGCACTCGGGACCCCTCCTAGCCAACGTCTCCCTCTCGTGAGAATATATATGTGCTTGACCTCCACAGCCATCACCATCTCATAATCTATCTCACTCACCTCCTTTAGCAGCCGTTTCTTTCACTTCTCACACATCACACACCACCCTTACTGCAACCCACCTTCCAGCAACTCCTCACCATGGCCAACTTCCCTAAGCTCATCCCCGCCTTCACGGTCCAAGTAAGCAACCCCTTAGACAGCAGATGGGAACCACCTCCCTAGAGCATCCTCCCCTTTCCCTCTGGCCACACCCCCATCCCCAACAACAACAACAACCAGAACACACCACACCACCCGCAAACCCTCACTAATCACCCGCCTTCCCAATCAAACAGGTCGCCATCGCCCCCCCATCCACGCTCTCCTCAGCCCTCGTCTTCGTGCCCTTCGTCTCCACCGGCGGCAGCATCGTCTCCGAACCCAACTACCCAGTGCAGATCCGCGCGGCGATCGAGCACGGCGGCGACTTCATCCGGGTGAGCGCCGACGGCACCCAGGCGCGGCTGGACGTGCAGGGGCTGGCGCGCGACGCGGCGACGGGCGCGGTGCTGCGGTTGAAGTACACCGGCAAGGTGGACTTGACGGGGGAGGTCGGGGCGGTGTTGAGGGGCGAGGGGGACGCGGGGACGACGGGGTTTGGGGATGCTTGTGAGTTGTCCTTTTTTTTTTTTTTGCGTTGTTCTTCTTTTCCTCCTATTTTACGCACTCGATGTCGCGGGCCGTGATGCTGATGTGCTTGCTTAAAAGTCAACGTTGTCGAGTTTGAAACTGGTGGCGGGGAGTTCGCCGTACTGGAGAACAAGGTGTATGTCGGGTCGGGACGGTTTATCCTTGAGCCTGGGAAGCCGACCATTGTCGAGTATCTGGTCAGTGAGCTTGCTGCCTAAGAGGGAATAGAGTCTATACATGATCACTATTCCCGATGGCGGGGCGTTTGATTTGACGACCGTGAGCATAGCATCAATTATAGATGCGGGTTTAAGGGATGTGCCACGTTATAACTGTGGCAATCAATGAGACCACCAAATTGAATCCATATTCTTGGACCATAGGGTATTCGCTCCGTATTTACCTGACTGTGTCCTAGACACTGTTGCTATAAAACCGCCGAATGCACCTTGGCTGTGCCACGCGACACACATCTAGCCCCCCTCGCCTGCTATGCAGAATAACCTTATTCCATCCCCATCGCATTTTCGTTCGACGATCCCATCAATTCGCCGGTGGCCCTCCTGCCTTTTGAACCAGTAGTTGCCCAACTTGAAGGTTGGCAATCTCGAAAGCCTTAGACCCCTGAGGGAACGTTCCAAGTGCCGCCCAGAGGTCGATCAGGGGTTGCATGGGCTCGAGATCCGATTTCTTGAGTAGATTCAGTGTGGTAGCTGTTAGGATGAAGTGACTGAAGCAGCTGTTCATCGACTTCTCGAGATTGAGGCTGAACATGTCGTCAAAGTGCGACCAGTACAAGTGCGCATAAACGCGGAACATCTGGCGGAAGATAGTTTGGCACGTCTCCATAAAGTTCTGGGGGAAACCGCTACGCTTCCCAACCCAGTCCTGGCCTGATTCGGGCGCTGGGGTGCAGAAGGCCAGGTTGTCGGCGTATGAGACTCCAGCCGGGTCCGTGGGGAAGATAGTGCCATCGTCAATCTTCCCAGAGATGTACCGCTGGACGAGCGTCAAGTACTCGTAGGCCGGAATCTCAACGGGTTGGTAACGGGAGTTGAGCCACGTGAATGAGTGATTCCTGCCTTAGTGAGTATGAAAACCCTGATCGGGGGTTGGTGACAGACTCACCCGCCCGCTGACATCTTGGAACATCTCCTCGAGTTGCAGATCGAAGAGCCATCTTCTTCTTTGTCGTGGACTAGGCGGATGAAAGTGATCAACATCCTCCAGTGATCAACAACTGCCATACCGATTAGCCGCGTGTTTCAGGACCCCGCTAGAATCGCCTATACCTTGATGTGCAATCCACTCTCCCATCTCAACCGTCTTGGGCTTCGCACTCAGGGTCAAGAAGTTGCCCTTCACTATGTGCTTGGCATAGTTGGCATTTAGCCATAGAGGCTTTGCCTGGGGGAGATGGTAGGAGGCAAGAACGTCCTCCGCTGACGGCACCATGCCGCTAGCCTGGTCCATGCCGATGGTCTCAGCAAGCGATGGCGAGGTGGGGAGCGGCGGGAGCTTCACCGCAAGATTGGAGGAGGAAGAGTGGCTTCCTTGGTGTCCTTGGTGCCCTTGGGTAGGGGTGGCTGGCGAGTGGGTTTGGGCTTGTGCCTGTGGTGGTGCTTGCGCCTGCGCTTGTGGCAGTGATTGATGCTCGGGAGTTGGAGAGCTCGTGCCCGGTGAGTTCGGGCTTCTCTGGCCACGGAAGCGCGCGTTACTGTTTCGGCAGTTAGCCGCAGTGCTATTAACCAGGGAGGAAGACCGTTGGGCTGGGTGAAGTGACAGGGCCTGGCATCCATCCAATAAGGACATGAGGGATCTCAGGGTCTGCTTTTGATCAAACATACTCACTGTGCCAAATGCAACGAACCACACTGGTAGATTCTTATGCTTGAATGGGCGAGGAGCTTTGCTTTCGGATTGGGACGAACGGACAGTTCTCACAAGGAATGCTGAGTGAAACAATAAGAGGGGTCCCGAGCGAGGGTCACTACCCCTGATCGAACCACAACTTGGAACGCCCGAGGATTTAAAGACGTTAGGAAGCACTAAGGTAGCACTGGCTCCAGTCTGCAAAGATAGGTAATAAGAGCTCTTATGGGGGGAACATTAGAAGCGGCTGCCTCACTCTTATGCACGGCTGAGTTGAGGCGGCTGGATGGGTAGGCCCGATGTGGATGGTGTGTTGGAGTTGGGTGTTGGTGGGTTGCGGGGAAGCGGTGGATGAAATCGACCTGATGATGGACCGAAACTCACATTCCAGAGAAAAGGTTAGACATTTTCGTTTCGGGTTAAGAGAAAGATAATAGGCGAAAAAAAAAAAAAAAAGGGAAAAAGAGCCCGAAGCACAAACAGGAGACCTGGGAATAGTCCAAAAAGTGCTGTTTCCTGTTAGCCCGGACGGGGTCGTCATGAAATTGTTTAGTTACTGGTGAATTGGTTCGGGTTGCAGCCCAGGTTCCAGGCCCACCGACTCTTTGGGTGTTCGTTCGACAGACCCCCGCTGTTTCAGCGCCACCGCTCTTTATCGTTATCGAAAGAAACAGGGGTCGATGCCAGCTGAGTCAGCGAGGTGCCATTGGTCTCGAGTCGAAGAAGCAGCGCATTGAGAATCGCGCATTCATCCGCTGCTTGAAGCTCCGCGACTCGTTCCCATAGCTTTGCCAGGCACTCAAATTTGATACTCGCTTTTCGAGATTGGAAATTTGAATACCCTCGAAATACCCACGCTACAAACTGCGCTTCCGATTATTAACTTCAACTTCAAACGCATTTTCCGCATCTCTTGGACCAAATCAACATGTCCGACTCCGAAGAACCCATCGATATTGCCGACGAGGGAGGTGACGATCTCTTTGGAGATGACGGCGATGACGCGCTTTCAGACATCGAGAATGTCGTGAGCGACCGGGAGATTGTGTCGGATAGGGAAGACGACGAGGCAGACGCGCCGCGCCGGGACGATGATGAAGAGCCTCGCGAATTCCGCGAGAAGCTGGTTTCCGAGGTTCCTTTGTATCGGCACCGCACACCGCGCTCCAAAGACGGCGATGTAAGTCACGATTGTTGAGCAAGCCTTGAGCGCATTTTTTTGCTAACAATTGCATAGTTGCACACCCTCCGCGTACCCGATTTCATCAAGTTCAACCCGATGGAATACAAGGCCGACGAGTGGCAACCCAGCGAATGGGACCTCGAAAACGCCAACTCCGAGAACCCGATCCCCTCGATAATGTGCCGCCGCGATCCCAAAACCGGCCGCATCCAGAGCAACGCCAACATGTATCGCTGGAGCGACGGCTCCGTCACGCTCGCCATTGGCGATGAACACTACGAGATCCAGAGCAAACGGCTCGCCCCGCCGCCCAACAAGCCCTACCGCGACGTACAAGACGCGCACTACTACGCGGCAGCCGCCCATCTAACAACTAACTCTCTGCTCATCGTCGGCCACCTCACGGAGCAATACGACGGTGCGCCCGAACAAGGAACTACAGGACCACGCGCTGGAGCGGCTGATGGCGGACCTGGCGGGCGCCAAGAAGGACCGCGGCTCCGAGATGATCATCGTCACCAACGAGGACCCGGAGCTGCTGAAGAAGCAGGCCGAAATGGCCGAGAAGGAACGCAACAAACTGCAGCGCCGCCGCGAGACGGCCGCCGCCCGCGCCGACGGCACCGGGGCCCGGTACAAGGGCGGTGGTGCGCTGTCCGTCGGCGACCTCGAGGGCCGGCGCGGTGCGGGAGCCGGGAGGAAGCGCGGTGCTCCGGGTGGTGCCAAACAGAAGCGCCGTCGGCCCGAGTACGACTCGGACGACGACCTGCCGAGCGGCACGCGCCGGACGGATAACTATGACATGGAGGATGGGTTCTTGGTGGACAGCGAGGAGGAGAGTGAGGCGGTGGAGGAGGACGAGGAGGAAGAAGAGCTGCTAGATGATGAAGAGGAGGAGGACGAGCGACCGCGGGCCAAGCGCCAGAGGACTGCCGAGCCGGACGAGGATGCCGAGGGCGATGAGGACGGCCCGAGTCATGCTGACGCTTCGAGGAGCCGTAGACGGCGCGTCATCCAGGACGATGATGACGAGGAAGAGTAGCTGGAGTTACAGTATGGAGGAACTGTATCACTTATTCTGGGTTAGCGCATGGTCACTGGCACATTTAGGCGTCTTGGTCTCAAAATGGTATCTAATTAGGGTTTGATATTCGGGAGACACGAGCCCGTCAATATTTTGGTCTTTCGATATGATTGCTGAGACAATGGGGTTTAACTCAACCTGTACTCTTTATCTAGCCCTTCTCTTCCATGCAGGCCCGCCACCGATGATGATAACCATCTTCGACAAAGGCTGGCCTCATCATGGCATCTCGTTTATGGGGCTATGAGGATTAATAATAACCTGGCGTCCCTGTCCTATTCTCTGCTGGCCTCCTAGAGAAAGTCGACGACGAACCCAGTGCTGTTTCCTCGTCCGAACTCGGGTAGTTGCCGAATTCGTCTGACCTGTCCGGCGGGGCCCTCATCGCCTCCAACACCTCGGCGCTCAATAACGGTGGTTGGAACGGCTTAATAGAATGTATTTCGCGCCCGGATGGCATTTGGGCGAGGAGAGGTCCGATAGGGGGTATCGGTTGTGTAAGCATCTAGAAGAAGTTAAAATGGGCGCTGACAAGAGGGAGTTCAGACGGCGACTCACGGTATCGTTTTGCTTCACCCACTTGGCCTCCAACATCTCAATCACTCTCGTCTCCTCCAGCCGCCCGCCATCCGCACCCCAATCCAAACCCTTCTCAACCTTCTTATCCTCCCTCCTCTCACTCCACTCCTTCCGCAGCCCCTTCAACCCCCCACTCCCACCACCACCACCACCACCACCACCACTTTTCTCCCCCCCCTTCCTCTCCACCCCGACCTCCCCCAACCCCGCCCTCAACCACGCAATCCCCGTCCCCGTCTCCCCCCCCAGCTCCGCATCAATCGCAAAGAACCGACACGCGCGGGCCCGACTCGCCCTGCGCAGATCCTCCACGTAGCGCACGAACCCCTCGCTGACTTTCCCCCCCTCTGCCGCCGCTCCCGCCAGCCCGGCCGCGGGCCTGCGCAGCGTGCTTCGCCGCGGCGAGACACAAGCGAGCAAACAGGTGCGCGCGCACCTTGGGGATGTCGGGCGACTTGTACATCCACTCCGTGTCGTGCTGGTTGCGCGTCTGGGCTACGGCGGCCGGATAGGGGTCGTCTTTGAGCACGGCGAGTAAGGTCGCTTCGGCGAGGGCGAGGGCGCGTTGGGCGCGTAGTAGGTGGGGGGAGATGTCGGCGCATGGGTAGGGTGGGGTTTTGGTGGTGGTTGTGGTGGTGGCGGTTGGGGGTGATTCGGTGCGGGTGGAGAGGTGGTCGTATATGGAGGCGGCGTCGAGGAGGTGGCGTGTGGCGGTGGTGATGGCGGTTTGGCGTTGGGTGGTGCCTACGGGTGCTGTGGTCGTTTGGTAGAGGGGTTGGAGGGTGGCGCGGGCTTGCAGCGTGTACGTGTTGGCGAGGGTCGAGAGGGCGAAGAGGAGCTCGTGTTCAAGGGAGTGGATTCGTACGCGCGGGGGCTCGCAGCCGGGGAGAAGGTTGTTGGAGAGGGTTGGGCGCCATTCTATTTGGGGGGCGGTCTTGAGTGTGACCGACAACTCGTCGGGGTGGATTGGTTTGCCCGAAAGGGAGGCGTTGAGAGCGAAGAGGTAGGGGAGATAGGTTTGGAGGGTCGAGGTGACGGTGGAGAGGGAGGGTGCCTGTGAAGCTGGAGGGAGGCGCTTGTGTTTCTTGAGGGTGTCTCGGACCACGCCGCGGTGGGTGCTTGCTTGGAGGGGTAGCGAGGGGTGTGACTCGCAAGTGACACTCGACGAAAAGGAGAAGGAGGATGTGGTTGGGAGGACGAATGGGTACGGCATTGTCTGAGGTACCTAATTCGGGATGATATAAAATATATGACGTTGAATTTTCTAGACAGGGCTGAAGACCTGGGTATCTCAAGGCTGCCACGGAGGAGAGCATCCGATTTCAGGTTTGGATCGCCCGCTTTTCGGCCAATGTTTCAATGAGGGGCATTCGTTGCACGCTCGGGAGCTGCAGCAAGGGAGGGTGACATCACATCGGCCCAGCAGCTGCTGTCGGCCCGCTATGGTGCTGTTCCTGAGTCGCTGCAATGTGACCCCTGCTGCCTCCTGGAGCTCCCACGGCTCCCCACATCCACTCCCGTTAGCTGTCATCCGAATTTCGAACCCCTGTCCAGACAGATTGCCGTCAGCCAAAAAGTTCCGCATCAACTCCACAGCTCGAGGACCATCCTCGACGGACTCCAACCCTTCCGAACGTTCAATGCGGCCTCTTCTTCAACACCAGCTGCATTTTCGGTGACAATGGCCAAGCCTTCGCCTTCCCCCCACAAACCAAGGCGAAAGGCCAAACAGGCCGGCAATTCGATAAGCAACATTCACAATGTCGGCACCGTCGAGACCATGTCTCGCGCCCCGGCTTTCCCGCTCGCGGCTTTCCTCTGGCCCGCGAGGGGTACTGTCTCGCAATGGGAGCTTCTGCCCCTCATATTGATGGCCGTCGGTCTCTTCAGATGGGCTGCTGGGCTGTGGGGTTATTCAGGTGCGATTGCTCTCGAACCTTGGCTTCAATGGTCTGGTGTGAACGACGACTGACTTGTTGCACTTTCGCAGGCTTCGAGAAACCCCCCATGTTCGGCGATTACGAAGCCCAGAGGCACTGGATGGAACTCACAACCCAGCTTCCCATCTCGCAATGGTACTTCCATGACCTTCAATGGTGGGGCCTCGACTACCCGCCGTTGACGGCCTACCATAGCTGGCTCTGCGGCAAGATCGGTTCGCTCATTGACCCGTCGTGGTTCGCCCTCTTCTCATCCCGCGGCCTGCACGACCCAACGCTCAAGGTTTTCATGAGGGCAACCGTCATTATCTCGGAATACTTGATTTACATTCCCGCCGTCGTTGTCTTTGTGCGCCGCTACAGCAGGCTGAATGGCGTTGCCAACTGGTCTGCTGCGGTAGCTCTTGTTGCCATATTGATGCAGCCTGCTACGATCCTAATCGACCATGTCCACTTCCAATACAACACGGTGATGCTTGGATTTGTGGTGGCAAGCATGTCAAGCCTACTCGCTGGTCGCAATCTGTGGGCTGCCGTATTCTTCGTGGCCGCCCTTGGGTTCAAGCAGATGGCGCTGTACTACGCTCTTTCTGTTTTTGCCTATCTTCTCGGCAGCTGCGTATTCCCGCGGATTAACATTCCTCGCCTTATTGCGATTGCAGGAATCACCGTGGTGTCGTTTGCCATCTTATTACTTCCCCTCGTCATCGGCGCCCTCTCCGACGCGAGGAACGGGATCGATTCTCGCCCGGATATTGACGGCCCCCGTCCGCCCTTGCCACTATTCCAAGGGCTCGCCGACTATCTGGATACGGAAGCCTTCTACTACCCGGTGGTAGAACAGTTAGTCCAGATGGTTCACCGCGTCTTTCCCTTTGCCCGCGGCCTATTCGAGGACAAGGTCGCCAATTTTTGGTGTGCATTAAACGTGGTTTTCAAGATCAAGCACTACCCGGCTGAACTTCTGCAGCGCGGCGCGCTCGTGGCAACATTGGCATCGATTGCTCCTCCCAATATTGTCCTCTTCCTCCGGCCGAGAAAGGAATTGTTGCCACTGGCGTTCGCTACAACCGCGTGGGGCTTCTTCCTGTTCAGCTATCAAGTACACGAAAAGAGCGTTCTGCTCCCGTTGATGCCGATGACGCTGCTGCTTGCAAGCAGCCATGGGTTGAACAAATCCACTCGCGCCTGGGTCGGGTTCGCTAACATCCTGGGCTGCTGGACCATGTTCCCTCTGCTGCAGCGGGTAGATCTGGCGATGCCATATTCGGTGCTCACTCTGCTCTGGACATACCTCCTCGGCTTACCTCCCACTTCGTTGAGTGCCTATTTTCAAGAAGGCGGCAACAACTGGACCCAATGGGTCACCCTTTTCATTCATGGTTCATTCTACCTGGCCATGACGCTGTGGCACGTCCTAGTTCAAGCCCTCCAGCCGCCTCCAGACAAGCCGGACTTGTGGGTAGTGGCCAATGTCGGTGTTGGCGCTGCTGGCTTCTCTCTCTGTTATGTTTGGTGTCTAGGGAGACTGGTCATGCAAAGCGAAATCCTGCCCAGGTCGTGGTTTGCGAAGAAGGAGAAGGCGAAGACCCAATAAGCGGGCATGGCGGTCAACCCGGCGAAGTGAATGGAGTGGGCTTACAGTTTTATACCCTGAATTATACCCGATTCGACTTTTTGTGCAAGTTCTTGAGCGATCGTCTGGTTTATGCACCTCGTGCTGGTCGACGAAGGATTCCGCCCCCATCGGGGGCTCACGAATGAGAGAAATGATCAACCGAGGAATCTCAGAAGTCAGCATCAGAGGATGGCTATCCCAGTTATTGGTCCTCAGCCACACGAGCCACAATAAGAACGGAGAGACACCTGGATGCCTGCTGGCGAACCCTCGATGACACTAAACGGCTGCAACTGGCTGCGACAAGAGACAGGCGCAGTGGTTTATATGTTTGGACGGTGGTGCTCTTGGCATCAGAAGACACAATTCGGATGAGAGCTCCGAGCGACGTGCTCGAACTCGGCCCGATGGTCGTCGGCTGGGCACCGACATCCTGGACAACCATGCACCAACCCGTGGGGGCCAAAGTTTTGGAGAGACTCGACCAAATAGTTATTCTCGACTCGACGTCACGGATGTGTCCAAAAGGTTGTCACCATCCTTTCGTCGCTTCAAACAGGACTTCCAACCCTAAAGCCAGCAGCCTTCTCTAAAGAAACAAATCCTTAGTGGGCTTTATGGAGATCAAAAACGAGCAAAGAAGCAGCGATCGACCCGATGCGTGTGTTGTCAAACCCGTCAGCCTATCGCATTCTGGAGAACAGCCAACGGCTGGATCCTCCCGGGGTCTTGGCACATTTTCAGCCTTTCAACCAACTTCCGGAATGGGGCGTTGCTCGGCACACAGCCAGCTAAGAATGGGGGCCAGATACACAAGAGACCTCGTGGCGACCGCCTCAGCCCTGCAGCTTTGCTGACGCTCTGCATCTTCGCAAACTCGGTCCAAATGGCAACCTAAACAACCCGACGCCGCTGCGCCTGGGGGCGCCGAGTCTCAGGTAGAGATGGATGCATCCCATTGTCGCCCATTGTTATTCCCGCTGGCGTGGAAGCGAGACAACGGCACTCACTGCCCATTAACTGGGCAGCGGCCCGATTTTGCGTGACGCGGACCACCCGAGAATACACTGCAGCGTCCACGGTGTCAAACACACATCGTTGCTTGGAAGCGTACTCCTTCCCAGTCCGTGCCGCCAGCCTGTCTTTCCCTTTCCTCGTGTCTCGAGGGCGGGATGGCGCCGGCACACTTCAGCCTTTGTTTTGGCCTTTGTCGGCGAGTCCAACAGACGTCCGGGGTTCATTTGGATCGGGATTTACACACATGGCAGCTTTGTCTGGCCCGGTTCTACTCGGCCCCTCCACGCCGCCACCCTAACCATAGAAATATGAGCACTCCCCAGATTCTGACATAACCCGGTGTTCTTTTGTCTGCTCCTCCTGTCAGCTTGATGTAACCAGCGCACCGAGTACATCTGCCGCCGGGCTTGAGAACCAAACGAGCAGGTCGTCCGTTGTTGCACAGGTCCAGCTGCGCTTCCCCACCGGGCCTGCACATCCCGCAACCAACAAGCCACCCGGCCCCTTGTCGAGACCACCAACAGCTTTCCTGCAGGCAGGGTACTAAGTGGGCTCAGGTATCAATATTAGAGGGAGGAGACAGCGCGCCACCTTTGTTGTCTTTCTGTTCTGTTTCTGTTTTTGTTGGTTGCGCTCTGGCACTCAACCTTAACCTTACCGTCACGGGGTTGAAGTTCCAACATCACGGTCATGATCGCCCGAAAAATAATCGGCGTACTCGCCGCCCTGGCAGCCACAGTAGCGGCCCAAGATGATCCGGAACCAGTCCCGACAGACACAGGGTCGTCGGGGTCATCAGGAGCAAGGACGACCTCGGCCGCGTCCGGACCAGCAACGGTTACCATAGCAGTCGGAGCAGTAAGACAAATCACCCTCTGTTGACCTAGCATGAGGCTGACCACGCTGTAGAACGGCCATGTCTTCACACCGAATGAGGCTAAGGCGAAGGTCGGCGACATCATAAGTGAGTCCCAACTCATGGATCCCCATTGATAAGTCTGATCGGCTGACACCACCAACCAGAATTCACCTTTTACCCTGCTGGTGACAACCCACGTATGTCAAGCCTGCCTTTCTTTTTACCTCTTTCATGGGTTCCAGTAGCCAGCTGTTATGCTGCCGAGCTCCTCCAGGTCAGGACAGGACAAACGTAGCTAACACCGCCGGGGACAGACCGCGTCGCCCGCGCCGAGTTCGGTTGGCCATGTATCCCCTACGAATACGCCAACATCGACAAGCCAGGCTTCTACACTGGCATCTTCGCACCCCAAGTTATCTCCAACAACGTAAGCCTTTGAACCCAACCGCTCCCGACTACTCGTGACTGGTATATAGGTAGATGAATATATTCAATGTTTTACTTAG